AGCAGGTCACCTGAATAGCAAAGAAGATCTTCACATTAAGGTGGAATTTCTTGTGCATTCGTTTCTGCCCATTGCATCTTGTCCTATCAGCTGGCACCACTAACAAGAGCCTGGCTCCATCTTCTGTCATTCCTTACTCAGATACTAATAGATATTGATGAGGGCTCCTCTCAATAATTTCTTTTTATGGCTGAACAGGTCCAGCTCCCTCAGCCTTGCCTTGTAAGAGAGATTCTCCAGACCCCTGATCAACTTTGTAGCTCTCCGCTGGAACTGCTCCAGGAGCTCCATGTCTTGTCCTGAGGAGCACAGAACTTGACACAGCATTCCATGTTGCCTCACCAGGGCTGAGTAGAGGGGCAGGACCACCTCCTTGGCCTGCTGGCAAGGGTCTTCCTAATGCACCCTAGGATCCTATTGGCCTTCTTGGCCACAAGGTCTCACTGCTGGCTCATGGACAGCTTGTTGTCCAATAGGATCCCAGGTCTTTCTCCATAGAGCTGCTTTCCAGCAGTTTGACCCCCAGCCTGTACTGGTGGTCCGGGTTATTCCTCCCCAGATGCAGGACCCTGCATTTGCCCTTGTTGAATTTCTGTAGGTTCATTTCTGCTCATCTCTCCAGCCTATCAAGGTCCCTCTGAAGGGCTGCACAACTCTTGGAGTTGTCAGACACTCCTCACAGCTTTGGGTCATGAGTGAACTTGCTGAGGAGGCATCTACACCTTCATCCAAATCACTGATGCACAAACAAGACTGGGCCCAGTACAGAACCCTGGATACCACTAATGACAGATCTCCAACTAGTTCCAACTAGATCATGACCCTCTAGGATCTGCTGTTCAGCCAGTGATGAATTCATCACTTCCAGGTCAGGGTGGAAGTAGTGAGTTCTCCAGCCCAGCCTTACAAATGTTTCACAGAAGAGTGAGCTTGGTCTGGCACTGTAATGATCTGATGAGTTTTACAAGTCCCATTTTAATGTCAGAAAACTGGACTACAGGAAGCAGAGTGACCCAGGATTGTGTACCCCAGAATATTTTACAGCACACAGAGTATGCCAGAATTTGTTTATTTATTCATTATTTCTGGTTTAAAATATAAAGGATGGTGTTATTCATGTGGAAACACAGACCATTAAGAGCACCTGTTCAGGAAGTAATCATCTCTAAGCAGTTGCTAATATTCAGGATCTCTCTTCTTTAAAGAGGAGCAAACAGTGATCCTGAGAGTGGTGCCTGCCTCACAAAGACTCACAGGAAAAGATAAGAATTTCTTTAGCTCACTTTCCCACTAGCTCAGTCATCTGGAAGTGGGAGGAAAAAGGAGAGAACCACAGACCTCCCAATTCCTTTTAGCACATTGTACTTATTTTCATTGGCATGCATGACAAAGAATTCCACATAAAATTGGAGTACACTATTGGAGATAATCATACAAGATTATGCCAGCTTCATATTTCAGTGAAAACCTTTATAGACATATACCAAGTACCAGTCAGAGAAACACTTGCTAGTGTTGCTACACAGACTTAGCCTTTCTCTAAGCACAGTGTTTCAGGTATTACCAACCCCTTGGATCCATCTCAGAGCCTGCATTTATCTCAGAGTTAATTGTAATTCTGTGTATTTGCTAGCAACAGAGTCATTTTTGAACCTTAAAACCAGGCTTGATCTTGAGATAATATTTTCCAAAAGAAAGGTCATTTGAGGCAAAAGAAATAGTTTGATTTATTTTCTAGAGTTAAATCTTTTTTACAGCCATTTCAGCACACACTTTCAATCTGAAATGCACAAAATAGAAACAGTATTTGAGAGAGAAAACTAGATTTTGATTGCCCAACATTTTCAATCCACTTAGCCTCCATTCTACAAGCATGTGTAGTTGTTTCTATCTGCTAGCACCAAAAAGCAGAAAAAACACTCTATCAAATACAATTCACTTGAATAAGATTCACTCACTGCCCCAAGAATTCCCTATGTGTCAAAGGAGTAGGAATTCAACTTGGTTCACCAGCTGATTAAAGCTCAAAGGCAAATAAGACAAATAAGGTGGTAAGTTCAGTCTTCATAGCAAGACATTTGTTCAACTCAAAAAAAAGTTCAAAATGTTCCAATGTCTCTTGAACGATCTACTGAACTTAAACTTGTCCCCCATGCTGAACTGATTTTAAACAGAGGGCTCGCAGAGTATGACCACTGAACCGAGTATTGCTATACCTAGACTGTTTCTCAATAGGCATAGCAGACAGATTTTTTTAAACTTGCTACATTCTGTCTTCCCCACTGTGTACCAGATGAAGGTGAAAGCTGCTGAGCTTCCCTGTGACCCCCTAGAAGATCACTACAGATATTCTTTGCATTTTTATTTAATAGCAATTTTCTTATACATAAGAGTCTGAATTTTCCTCATGGCAAATACTGTATAGCAAAAGATACCCTGAATCAGGCGTGAATTCACTATTTATGTGACAAGAAGTTACAAGCACTGAACACTAACAATGTTTTGTGAATTATGGGGATATAGCAATAGAGTTGCACTACAAGGCAACCTGACCAATCAACGAATTTGTTCTTTAAAACTTCCTCTTAAATCGCAGTGCTTTTTGATACTACCAGCACTTTCTTTTCCTTTCAAGCATTTTTCTGGCATTATTTTGCTTGCACACTTTATGCACAAACTTTGAAGTGAAAAAAAGCACACAGTTTTCTCCAACAAACGTGTGTAAATGCATCTGCTCTTGTATTCCAAATTTGAAGTGCATATAAAGTACTGTTGATTAGCTATCTTCATTAACTGAAATATCACCCAATCCAAGCCTTTCTCAAAAACCTGTATGCAAGTAACACTATTGTATTGTTCTGCTTCATTAAGTCATACCTGTTTGTTAAGCCAAATGCAAAGTTCCCTAAGTAATAAAACACAACGGCTATAATTGAAGTGTGAAAATCTCAATTTTTTTTTTAAAAAAGTAAGAAGCAGCCTGTTGAATGTACTCAGTTCTAAAGCTGAGGAAAAAAGGCAGAAGGAAGGATGGTGTGCTGCCCCTTCCCTCAGAACTGACGCACAGGGATCAAGTTACTCTTGAAGAATGCCAATGTTTACTCATATTTCTTTTGTTTTTCTCTCATAGAAGAATAGAAACCTGGATACAAAATGCAGGATTTATCAAAAGCTACCTGAACCTCTTGATTACTTATCATGATCATAAAATTATCACCTACCTCTATCAAAACACTTCTTGTTCTCAAGGTCTTTTTTAAGGGCACACACATCTGCTATCACTTCCCTGACTACACTTACATTCAACATACTTTTCTGTTTCGACAGCTATCAACACTTGTCTTTGGAGCTTGAGTTCCAAAGTTCCTTGAGACTTCCTCCATCCTGATTTCAATGTAAAAAGCAATTGCATAAATGGCACTTTGTCAAGACAATGCAAAGCACTGATATCCATGTCGCTCTAAATTTCATTTGACATGTCTTTCAGTTTACACCACCCTTCTTTATGTCGTCTTATAAACACTAACTGCTCCCAGGAAACATTCCTCATCACCAATCACACACAGCTCCACTAGATTAGAGTAACTGCTTCCAAATACTGCAAAATGCTCTTCTACTGCTTCATGATGCATGCTGAGATAACTTTCTCAGTTACAAAAAAACTCAAAACAAACAACCACAAAAAATACACCACAGACAAACAAAAATAAGATAGCAACAACAATACAGCAAACAGCTGTTCCACTGCCTGGCCAGGAGACAAAAGAACAATTGGGGGATGGATAGTAGGGGGTAGGCTAAAGGTAGGGGAAGGCTAAAGGCAAAGAGAAAGGGCAGGGAAAAGTTTAGGAGGACAGGAGGATAAAAGAATCAGTTTGGTCTTGAAATGCAAGTGTATTTGAAATGCATCTGCACATGCAGACCTCTGATACCCATGTGCATTAAACATGGCCTCAGGTGGGAACGATACAAAAATCTTTCCATGATCCAAGAACAATATAGCAATCAGAAAATGGAAGATAATAGTTTTCACTATCACTAAGCCTGTGATTTTGTCCACTTTACAGTGATGACTAATATTAAGACACAAGGTGGCGAGTTGGATTTTATACTATCAAAATATGACAGACTTTAATCTGAAAAATTTGGCCAGCCTTATAAACCAGTTATCCAGTCTACAATCTGAGCAATTTAAGTATACATCAGTAACAGTTTTTCTTTAATGTGAAGGCACCAAAGTTAATAAAATTTATTTTACTTTTTTAAGCTAAAAGATTGATGTTAGAACATAGAATCACATCTGTAATCTACCGCTGAAAATTTGGTTATTCTAAAATTCTGTTAGTATTACAGTCTCAACAAACACTATTTGCACATAAGACTGGTTTCCTTCCCTTGCACATCTAAGCGACAAAGGTAACTGCACTTTTAAGCTCTTTAAACTATGTAACATGTTACATCTACATGTATCACATTTTCATTTGGTCAGGGACAGCTTAACTTCACCCTTCATCAAAATTTTTACTCTGTTATGACATAAAAAGTACCAGGCACATAACATCCTCTTTAAGTGTCAATGGTATGAAACAGAAACAGATTTGCATCACAATATAGACTCATTCTAAAAACATAGATCAAATTAGTCTATGAAATTTTACTTTTTAGAAAAGGAAATTAAAATTTTCTTTAAGACTATTCATCATGTTTATAGTATTTTTTTAAGAATTCAGCAACAAAGTCAAACCTGTTGGCAAAACCAGGATGCAAGGTTACCATTCAGGAACCAAAGGTCTGGGAGTTTTAAAAAAGCCAAACCAGCGCATGGAATTATATTATACTAAAATTAAGATATTCCCTCTCCACACCAAGTGTGCGAATGAATAAGTAATACATAATTACCTCTTACAGTTCCTAGCCTAATATCTTATTCCATTAATCTGATTTTTCCCAATACAGATACCTCTGTTTGGTCTTTCATGCTTTTGCTACTCACTACTTACCACTTAAGATTACTTCAAGGCACAATATGTTTCAGGTTTTTCAGATCATACCCATTTGTTTGTCAGTCACTGGACATATTCATTCTGCAAAACAAAAATCTACAATTTTGTAAATTCTGGCAGGTTTCTGTTAATCCTTTGAGTCAACATATATCTTAAAATTCAGTTGTAATTTAACAGTTCAAACTTTTAGATTGTTTTTAAAAGCATATTCTATAGTTACTTTCCAAGTAATTAGCAGACACTAAAAATAAAATATTTATTTGAATGAAAGCAATCACATAATAGGTTATAAAAGAAAAAAATTATAAAAGAGGTTATAAAAACTGAAAAATCCAAATGAAAAAAGGGTGTAAAAGATAGGAGGAAAGTGATTATCTCATAACTGCATCACTTCAGAATGCAGAATGAAGCACTGTGATCAATAAACTTCATTATTATCAACTTTCAGCAAGACAAGGAGAGTTTAGAATGTGCCATGGAATGCAAAACCTTCAGGCAGAGCAGAAATTCTTGCAATGCAGAAAAGTCTTGTGTATCAAAAGGAACAGCTTAGTAAATTTTAACACCCTGGTCTGCTGCTTAAAAAGATATTATCTATTTTTACTAGTTGAACGTCTGTGATCTGCAGCTTCAAAAGAGGTAGCTCTGACTCAACTGAAACCTGTGGGCATGAGATGTAAAGAGCACGTAATCTGCCAAAGGAGAAGAGAAATTAAAATGAAAATAGCCAGGTTATAGAATATTAAAAAACCAAGATACAGCATGCTCTGATTTCTTGATTTTCACAGTTTAAACATAAGAATTAATAGCCTTGAATCTGTTTGTTAAACTTGAGGGTGTCTGAAGAAAAGCAATGAAATTGTTTAAAGGTCTTGAGATCAAGTATGATGAGCAGGTGAGGGAGCTGGAGTTGTTCAGCTGGAGAAAAGGAGACGCAGGGAAGATCTTAATCACTCTCTAACTATTGAGCAAGGCAGGTCTAGGGCTCTTTTCCAAATAAGAAATTATAGGATGACAGGAAACAGCATCAAGTTGCACCAGGGGAGGTCTGGATTGGATATTAGGAAAAATTTCCTCACTGAAAGGGTTGTCAAGCACTGGAATAGGCTCCCCAGGGAAGCCAGTGGTGGAGTTGCTGTCTCTGGAGGTATTTCCAAGACTCACAGGTGTGGTGATTTGGGACATGTTTCAGAGGAGTGGCAAGTATTAGGTTTACTGCTGGACTCAGTCTTAAAGATCTTTTCCACTCTAAATTATTCTGTCTTTCTAAGGGGAGAAAAAGTTTAGGTTATTAACTTGCAGTTGGTGAGCAATGTTTTTCGTAGGACAGAGAATGGTAATTCCCCAAAGCATACCTTTCAGGGGCTTATGATATGAAGTGAACTTTGTTTTCTATAGTGATGGCAGCATTGAAGGTCATGTTGTTTGTACATGCAAGTGGTAGCACAATCATGGCACGTGGCTCTACTTGAATATTATAACTGGAGTCCATTCCTCCATCGGGCACCTGGAGCATGGGACAAAGGTGTGCCCTTATGTTTTTTCTCCCAAACAAAAGGCCATCATACTATAGTGTGGCTTCCTAAATATTTCACATGTAACTGTAGCTGTCAGTGAGGTTATGATCGTGCCAGGGAAATAAGACCTCGAGAAAGCCTAACAATTCGGTGTGAACACAACCGTGCTCAGGACTATAGGGAGCGCAGTTTAAACAAACGGTGATCTTTGGAAAGCCCCTGGAAAACACTGTCTAGGGAAATTGCTAAATCGGAACACAGGGGCTGTTTGAGCCCTGCTATCCCTTCTTCTGTCATAGCTTTGTAGGTCTGAAACTCTGCCAGCTAGGACAAGACTTGTTTTCTAAATTTTGCTAATCCCAACCCTTCCAGCGCCTTTCTCCCGGAAACCGGCGAGGAGCAGGCGGAGGAGCCCGAGCGGGCCGCGGTCAGAAGTCCCCAGCGCGCAGCGGTACTTACCGGGCCGGAGAGCCGCGGGGCCACGGCGGTAGGCGGCCGGGACGGCCGGAGTCCCGGCCCTGAGGATGCCCTCGCCCCCAGCCACAGCCGGAGCAGCGCGGAGCGCCGGGGGGAGGCGCGGACTCCCCAGCAGCCCAGCCCAGCCCTGCCCTGTCCGCGCTCCCGGAGCCCAGCCCAATCCATCCGGTCAAAAAATCCCGCCTCTCTGGCCCAGCGGCTGGTCCCGGGATATCGCCCAGGCCTCCTGTAAAACTTCATCTGTTTTAAAGAGCCCACTTCTGTGAGCAGCAGGTCCAGTAACTCTTCTAATGTAACTTAATCTAACCTAACGTAATCTAATTTTATCCTACGGCTTGGACAGGAGTTCTTGCTGGGTTAAGAGCTAGCTGGATGGCCGGGCCCATAGAGTGGTGGTGAATGGTGCTGCATCCATCTGGCTGCCAGTCACCAGTGGTGCCCCTCAATAGTCTGTGCTGGGGCCAGTTCGGTTCAATACCTTTATTGATGACATGGATGAGGGGATTGAATCTTCCATTGGTATATTTGGAGACGATGCTAAACTGGGAGTGTGCATCGATCTCTTGGAAGGCTGGAAGGATCTGCAGCAAGATGGTTGGATGGGCAGAGTCCAATAAGATGAGGTTTAATAAATCCAAGTGCTGAGTCCTGCATTTTGGCCACAGTAACCCTCTGCAACATTACAGGCTGGGGACGGTGTGGCTGGACAGTGCCCAGGTGGAAAGGGACTTTGGGGTACTGGTCAACAGCCAGCTGAACATGAGCCAGCAGTGTGCCCTGGTGGCCAAGAAGGCCAGTGGCATCCTGGCCTGGATCAGGAATAGTGTAGCCAGCAGGACCAGAGAGGTCATTGTTCCCCTGTACTTGGCACTAGGGAGGCCACATCTTGAGTAGTGTGTCCAGTTCTGGGCCCCTCAGTTAAGGAAGGACATTGAGATGCTTGAGTGCTTGAGTGCATCCAGAGGAAAGCAATGAGGCTGGTGAGGGGCTTGGAAGCCGAGCCCTATGAGGAACAACTGAGGGAGCTGGGTTTGTTTAGCCTGGAGAAAAGGAGACTCAGACGTGACCTTATCACTCTCTACAACCTCCTGAAAGGTGGTTGTAGTCAGGTGGGGGTTGGTCTTTTCCACCAGGCAGCAACTGACAGAACAAGAGGACACAGTCTTAAGCTGTGGGAAATATAGGTTGGATATTAGGAAAAAGATTTTTACGGAAAGAGTGATAAAGTTCTCAAATCGTCTGCTCGCAGAAGTGGTGGAGTCATCATCCCCAGATGCGTTTTAAAAAAGATTGGATATGGCACTCAGTGAGGTGTTAGGGCATGGGTTGGACTCGATGATCTTGAAGGTCTCTTCCAACCTAGTGATCCTGTAATATAATCTAGTCAAATCTAATCTGATTTTGTCATCTAATCTAATATTTTGTGGTCTCCTGTAATAAAATTCTAACTCTTTGCAAGGCAAACTGAAACAAACTCGTAAAGCTACTCAAAAAGTGTTTCTCTGAAGCTGTCTGTCCATAGATTGCTAACACCTGTCACATGCTGTACTCTGTACTTCTGCAATGCTCCCTTGTCATATCTCACTGTCTAGGCCTCCCTATTGCTCAATACATGTTTATCATCATTAAAAGTGAGCCTAAATAAAAAGTCCAATAAAGCAAAAGAAAATACTGACAATGAGGATGTGGAACTAGGTTCATTATTTGCAGAAAAGTCTAAGTATTCATCTCTTTATATAATCTAGATGTAGGTAGTTTCTTAATGCATAACTGCTTCTTATTTACCTATTCAAGGATGTTTGAATATGAATGTAACATGAAGTGGACTCAGAGCTCAGGTGGGTCAGGTGAATGCTTGAAATGTGCCACTATTTCCTCATTAGGAATGGCAGAAATGTAGTCAAGAGCCTGTGTTCTCTCATGACAGGGATTTAAGCTGATAATTTGCACAAAGTACTTCTGGGTGTTCAGTCCCAGTCTTTTTTTTTTCCTTTTTTTTCTGACCCTGCTGTACAAAGGTTCCTACAAACTGTCACAACATCTGATTTCCTGGTCACTGGCTATTCAAACTCATTATTCCATTCCTGCAAACTGGTAGTGTTGCTAACAGCTATAGGTATTAGGAATCCTAGTAAAATCTAGAAAAAAGAGCCTATTGGTCACACTCAGTTGCTCCCAGAAAAGTAACTGCTTATTTCTTCATATATTTACCGCATGTATACCAAAAGTACCATTACCTTCCTTCATAATAGATTTTTTTTTTTCTTCTAGGCCTGTCCAGAGTGTATCCAGATCCAACACAGCTGGACAAATTCATTCAGATTTCTTTTCAGGTGGGAATCACCAAATGATTTGGAAATTCTTGAAGATATTAATTATATGTTTCAAGGTATGGAGGAAGGTAAAAGAGGGGAAGACGGCCACCTCTTCCTTTTCCACCTTATGAAATGAGTTGTCTAGAGGGGCAGTGCTTGCTTGGGAAGATAGGTTAAACTATCTCTGTTTATCTTAAACTAACTCCTGACTATTACATGTTGGAATTAAGCATCATTCTAACATCAAGCAAAATCATGAGCAAAACCAGTTTCTGGTAATTTCAAAATTGCCATTTAAAAAAAAGGCTAAATGTTTTACAGTGCAAGCCTGTTAAAGAAATTAAGCATTCACAACACAAGGTTGTCCCCAAATGATTTGTATAGCAATTAGAATTTCTTAAAAAGCTGTATTTGTTCCAAAACGAGAAGGAATTATGCAATGTAAAAATTGGACTAAAAGCAGTAAAAAGACTTGCAGCACGGGAAAAAATTATTATCTTCTGTCCAAACTAGGTCTGGTTTTGTATCCATATGTATATCCATATGTATATGTATATTTTCAATATTTTGCTTACTCTTGTATGATAAAGGCTGTTTCACTTCAGCTGTTTCTTCAGCACACTTACATTTATTGTTAGACCATTCACATGCAGCCAAAAAACTCTATTCTACATTGCTCCAGAAATGTTACCTATCCCACGTGGTTCAGCAATCACTCCAATGATGAATTTAACACAGATCTTCTTCCATTGACACTTTTGGGTGCAGTTTTTGTCCTGTGAAATATATTTCTACAGCAGACCTACCTGTGTTATGGCATGAGACTTTACAGTTGTCCTACACTTGATGCTCTCCAACATACCTATGTCTCAAATATTTTTAGCTTAGCATTGTGGCCTCATTCCTCAGTGATAGGACAAGTGGAAACAAGTTGCCCCATGAGGCTGCAGATTGGAAGTTTAGATTGACTAACTGGAAAGATTTCTTCATTGAAAGGGTTGACAAGCACTGACAGGGACTGTGCAGGGAAGTGTTTGAGTCACCATGCATGGAGGTATTTTAAAGACCTGGATATGTGATTAGGGACATGGTTTAGTAGTGGGCTTGAAAGTGTTAAATTAACAGTGGGAATCACTGATCTTAATGTTCTTGTCTAACCTAAATGACTCTATGATTCTGAATGTCTGATCAGCTTCATTATCCTAAGAAATATAGGCAGTGTTCAGGGGATTAAATTTAGTGTTGTATATTACCTGGCAGCTTGATCCGTCTTTTAAATTTGTCAAAGAAGTAGGAGTTTGCTGGAGTGATGTTACAAATAGTATTACTGAAACTCTTATCTAAAAAGGCTAATTGACTAAATTATAATTGCCATTTTTGAAAAGATGCTGTTATTCTTTATGCATGTCAGGTGATGGATAGAATTCACCAATTTTTAGCAAACAAAAAAAAACAGTTTGGTGCAGGTAAAACTATTTACCTTGATAATCCCATCTGTTGGAGATTTTTTCAGAAATGGCTTAGAAGGCAGCTGTGAGGAGTAAAATTCTCACAGCCGGTTTCTGTAAACAGCAGAAGTTCTCAGGTTGTTTTTAATTACAAGTAAAAGTGACAAACATGAAGGCCTTGAGAACCTTGCATACCAGAGTTCTCAGGCANCTATCTTTGGCTGTTTTGGGAAAGCAAAATTAAGTTTTGAGAACCCAAATCTTGGTATTGGAAACATAAGGAGGGGTTGGTGTGTTATCTCTGACCTGTTGTGAGCTTGGGTTTGCAATATGCATGAACTTACTTAACACGATTATAAAAAGTGACTGATTGAGTGAATAAATGGAGTCAGATGCTGATCAACAAAGGTGGGTCTCTCCCTCCGACTTCAATACCCATCAACTCAAAAAATACTTTTTATAACACACTAAACCTGAGCAGGTGGCAATAGAACTTTTTTTCCCCAGAAACTACAATGAAACTGTTAGATTATGAAACACAAAGTTCATCCTCACACACACAGAGGAGCACAGAGAGACAGTGATTGTCTCCTAAACATTACAACTGAAGAAGAGAAACTGGAGCACTCTAATCTGGCTTCTTCCAGGGCTGTCACAGGAGGACAACCAGCCTCATTGTCTGCGTCGTGAAAGCCATTGAGGTCAGTCAAGTGGATGGGCTCTCTGTATCACTTGACAGAATAAGGAGAGTTACAGCCTATGGGATACATCTTGGGATTCTGCAAGACATTGTGAATAAGAGTGCTTTGAATAGGAAGCAGAGACAGGGGGAGGAAGAAATTAAGGTGTTTTGAGGGTGAACAACTCTAAGAAGATAGAGAGAAGATGGTATTTACGGGACTGGTTGCATGTGAACAGGTTGCTGGTCTGCTCATCTGCTCACACCCTTCAGTTGGTCACTGCATTCTATCCTGTTTTATCAAAATCCATTTTTATTTCCTAGATGAAACTCTCTACTCTATACAGTAATGTTCTGAGCCAGTATAGGATGACCACAAGTTGTGTAAGCATCCTTTTTATTGTTTCTTGGTACCTTCCTGCAGTCACTGGATAAGTGAGTTTTATGTCTTTGTTAAAACTTATGTGAATTATTTTTCTCACAGCTTGGAATGTAGATGCAGGATTATTTGTGACTACATCATTTGTCATTTCTACTGCTTTTACACTGAAGGAAATGTTAGTATTAAGATGTCAGTTAAGATTGCACATTATAGAGTTATTCTTTGAAAATATTTATATGTGGGTAGGAATTAAGCATTGGTTATTAGGCAGGTGATATAGGGGTGTGTGCACCTCTCTATCTTATCTTCATTTGAGGTCAGTTTTACCCATTTCAGTTTTCATTGTTTCTATCATGAGTATTCACAGGCACATACTTAGCACACATAAGGTTTCTCCACATTCTTAGCTACTCACATCTTAGCAGCACTAAAGTGATCCTTCTGCTTCAGACTTCCTTCGTTTTTTTCAGTCATGAGTACAGCTACACTGCCTTCCAGGATCTCTTTTCTGCCTGCACACGTGTGCTTCCTGAAAGCACTGCAGTATTCAATGATGGATCTGAGAAACCTCTTCCCTTGTTGATATTGCTTGGAGGATCACGATTTAAAATAAACTATAAATACATCCTAGAGCCAGTTTTTCACTTCGCTTTCCTGAAACTTCGCAGAAACTGATGAAATAATTTTCTAAGATTGGTCAGAACTTTGCTTCTATGATGTTAATTGCCCCAGTCAAGGTACATAATAATAATGAGATGTCATATGTTGTTTATGTAAATTTTAAATTATAAATCATTGTTATGATTACATCTCTATATATAACTTGACAAAATATGTGCTTTCTGTTCTATGGATGAAAATAGTGGCTTATAAAGTCAATTGGAATTCTGTCATTGACTACAGTGGACTAGAACTATACAAAAAGTGTTGCAGCTGTCAGAATGAGCCTTGGAAAATCTACCAGTTGCTGCTTTTAATGATTTGTCTTTTATAAATGACATGAACTACCAGCAGCACTCCATTGTCCTTTTTAAGTTTGATTTGGGAGCAGAAATACATACTTCTCAGAATCCTTGAATGCAAAGTCTTTTCCAAGTGTAATAAAGAAATGATTTTCTAAATCACCAAAGCAGTGTGATTCCACCAAAGTGATACAATTTATTGCCAAACTTCTCATTATGATATACTATGAAAACATTTCTATAAAGACATTAGCAGAACAACTTGACTTGTTTAAAAATATATGAAGTAAGTTGACACCTTTTGGAAAGTACACACAAATATCTCCAAACAACAGCACTCCAAAGAGTGACAATTTAAGGCACGTGATTGTTTTGCAATCTTTGTTACATAAATCTCTGACTAGACCATGTATTTGTTAAACATAATTTCATATATTTCAATAACTAGGTTCATAGCTCAGAGAGACAGAATTCATCTCAACACAGGCAACAGTTCTCGGTTTTTTATCATTGCTAGATCATAGTGCAGCATAATAAACATTGTTAAAAACAACTTTATTCATGGAGCAAAATATGTAGAAGGAACAAAAAATATTTCTTCATTTCATGTTTTTGCAAGAAGGTAGGCCACAGTTACTTATTAAATAAATAGCAACTGTGGAATGCCAGGCTTTCCTTTTTCTTACAGAGCATGCCACAAAAAAATTTACAGACAGTTTTCAGGGAAGTAAGAACTGAACTGGCCTCATCAGAAGAGAATGAGTTGTCAACTGATCATTCCAATCTAATAAACCAGAGCAAAAATAGCAGATACTTATGGCTGTATGCTCAGCAGCTCTGAATTTATATTGCTGTGATAGAAATCAGTGGTGCTTGACTGATTAAAATGTGCTGAAGAAGTAACCAAACACTTTCACTCATATGTATACATACCACAGAAAATGTGAATGTACAATGAAAGAGAATGCAAAAAAACATAAAAATAGACAAATGATCAACTGTTATAACTTGCTTTTTTCTATTTACCCTGGTAGAGAGAGGGAATGTCTATTTATCAATTGCCCTTAATAAAAAAAAGGAATTATAATCCACTATTATGTATATTATGAGGTATTAGTACATTCTCAAATGTGGAAACTGGGGACATGAAAGTTTTTTCATCACATTTCTAACTGAGAAATTATGACAAATAAAACCTAGCTGTAGAATCAATTCTACTAGAAAACCTCTTCCAGGGGCAGAGGAGCTTCAGGAATTATGCAAGATATTCCAGATATGCAAGATTCTTCGCTATCAGAATGGCCCACTTTATCCGTCATTTGTTCAGCTGTAGTGATGCAACATACAGAGCATGCCTAAGGTCCTTGAAACAGAGAGATAAGCCCTTTGTATATAGTGTCTTTCCCTTTCTGTTGTTTGAAATGGTGTGATATTCCTCTCTTTTATAATACTAGAGCCCACACCCCTCTCAAAAACATAAAGGGTCCTGCTGACTTTTCACAGAGACTGCTATGTTTGTAAATATGGTGATGTCTATGGATCCTCTTTTCTGTAGCCTAAAAGCTTACAAAAACAATAAAAACATATGATGTGATTTCCAAAATTGCATACTCTTGTCTGTGCAAGAGTTATGTGGTGAAAGCTCCCATCTGCTGATGACAACTTACAAATGTTTCTTTGAGGTTCCTACCTTCAAGGTACACCTTTGAGGTGTACAAAAGCAGATTGGTAATGGTCTAACAAGCATGCAGAAAACAGTCCACAGTGTGGTTCTCTGCAGCTCAGCAATGACTTCTGTGTCATTGTCACCAATTTGAAATTGTCAACAATAACAAATGAAAGTTTTATTTAAAAGCCAACACCTGATGAGCATCTTGCCAATTTTGGTATTGGTACTTCAGCATTATGCTATGAGAGGGGTAGATTTTTGGCACATTGCACTTTACCTGTACTAACATTTGGGATCACTCACGGTTCTGTTACCTATCTATGCCAATTACTAAAATACTTGTTCCAATTATACTATCTGGAATGGTGTTAATATGCTCTACTTCATCAAAATAGTATGTTCACATGTACTCAGTTTCACAAAAACTGTATTTATATTATTGAAATTTAATGAGAGTAGCTCTGGGTGATGAAGCTTTTCAGTTAGGGACACTGGTTTGAATCATTGCCTACAACGACAACCAAACAGGCAGCTGCTTATGGCAGCTGATACCAAAAGAACCACTTCTCTCTGAGTCTGTTATTTAGAGGTGTACGTTTTGTATCTGTCTAGGTTTGTATATGGAATTTACCATCACATCTCTGCAATTTGCAGCAGCCTAACATATAGATTTTGGATACAGGACAAAGATAGAAAAAGGATGCGGACATGAGTTTTCACACATTGCTCCACTCTTCTTGGGTGTCTGGGTAAATCTCAGTTTTGATACCTGACACAGAATCATCTCAAACCCATTCAAAATCTGGGTAGGTAGAGTGAAACGATTGTTAACTTCTATAGATAAAGTAAAATTTACCACATAAAGCCACTGTCCAGGATCCAGTCTTAAACAATTCAGATACTTCCCTGAAGGTGACAGCTCATTTACAAATGGTTTACACTGATATTAAGTAGAAAGTAGGAACACATTAGGACCACAGAAGTGGCTAAGCACTCTCCTTCTATTAATGTCATAGAGCCTTTACAATTTATACCACTGAAGATTTCAAGCCAAAATTTCAAGACTGGAATCATCCAAGGCCAAATGGCCAGAGGACTATACATGTAGTATTATACGTGTATGAGAGGTCTCAGAGTTTTCACTTTCATTTATAGTCTTCATCTGAATTGGCTTTCACTGATGTCTCCATCTGTCTTCAAGATGATGTAGATCTAATTCATATGCAGTAAGTGTCCAGTGCAACCATAACTATCATTTGACAGGAAACCACGTACAAAAATAACGGACATTCCTAATGCAGGTAGGTATATACATGCACAGTAGCCAAACTGCCTCTGTACAATACTTTGAACCATCAACATCCTGAGTCTTTGTGGCACTTAAATCATGTGGCAAAATGCAGAACATATCTGAGAGACCACTATCCTGATCAGCTATTGAAAGTGATACATAAATTAACAGGATAATCTAACAGTATTTGGAAGGTGTCTCCCAAAGCAGCAATAAAAATGACAAATATTTACACTTCTGTCTGAGTGAGGCTATTTAAAATAGAGCAGCTTAATTAAGAATATTAAATTATTTGCTTCTGACCATGAAAATTAAAATTCTGAGCTAATTCTGGATGTTCTTTCTTTCCAGTACTACCAAGTTGAGGGAGTGAAGGTGAATGAAGGAAATGGCCCTCCTGTAGTACTTGATTAAATGTCAAGATTCCATGACTTTCCTCTCCCTGGAAGGTTTTATATGAGAGTCGATATTCTACAGTTACTCACTCAGTGACAAAAATATTCAAAAGCAGGAAAATATTTTTCTGTAGCTTGCACTTATAAAAGGCACTGATCCATTTCAATCAGAGTCAACTTAGCAGGGAAGAGACTAACCATTGGCTTCTTCTACTTTAATTTCATATAGTATAAATGCTTAATTCCATTACTGAAGCAGCATATGCAGCCTATTCCTTTAAATGTATTTATGGCATAATGGCATAATAAACCATCTCCATGTCAAAAAACATCAAGGATTTACCATTTGAAAAGATTCTTGGTTAAGCCCTCCAAAAATAATAGATTATTTGTAACAGTCTATGTGAAAAAATAACAAGGAGTCATAATTCCCTCTCGATATGCACCCTTTCATTATGAATAAGAACTTAAAAATGTAAGTGCAGCAGAAAAGCTCAAGTGTTTCTGACATCACAGGACCCCACTCCCTTTCCATCTGAAGCCATCCTAGAGCAGATCCCATGAACCAATAGGTTTGCTCTCTATTTTTACAAAAGCCCTTTCTCATCTTCTTTCAATTAAGTTCTTGCTCACAGCTGTGTTTCCTCCTGTTCCAAGGAATGTGGAGGGACATGGCAAGATGCTGGAAGAGATGCCAGCTTCTGAAGCTTCGGGTGATGCAGAGGTTTTGGCCTGTGGAAAGAACGTCGGCTTTGTACACGTCTGGCTGCAGCAGACCTGTAATTCCCTTCTATATCAAGCAACATTTTCTTCTCTTGGGGCTCCTTCATGTAAGAGTCTTCCAGCCCTTCAAACATAAGCAGAGTATTCTCTTCTTGAGAATTCTCTGATTTGAAGCTAACTTCAGAACAATAACCTGAGTTTACTGTCTCTTTGTTTTTCATATCTGTACCCGATTCCCAGAAGAGATCAGGTACATTTGGGTCACATGAAGCAATGTACTCAGAAACAGCAGAAAGAGATATATTCCCTCTGTTTTCCAATGAGGAATAGTTTTGTGTCCAAGGCATTTGAAGACAAGAGGGGAAGAAGTGGAGGGGATTCACTGAAACACTTCCATTTTGGTTGAGTTGATCATCTGAAGAGGAGTATTCTGTCATTTCAACATCGTGATCCATATCACCTAGAAAGCATAATTAAATAGAAACATTTGTTTTCTATTTGTACACAGTTTATCTGTTAGTATGCTGGCTATCGGGCTTTGCTTTTGGCTATTTTTATGAAAGTCTTATGAATGAGGGTGGTTAAAGATTTTTTTTTTTTCCTGAAATACTCTACTCTGTATCCAATTCTATCTTGGACAACCTGAAGTGAGTTAATTAAACTTCTTATCCTTGCTGAATGTCAGGCAAAACTTAGTTCAGTGTTTAGAAAGAACTGCCTGTTTCAGATAGTTAGGAGATGGAGCCATCATCTGGTCACTAAGGTGTATCTTAAAACACTCCTGATTTTCAGCAAAGAAATATTTCAGAAGTTTTTGAAACAAATTGTACTCTTTCAATCAAGTAGCAGAGGGTTTCACTCCAGGGAATCAATTTCTTATTGATCAGAACCTATGATCAGTTTTCTGTATATATTAGCTATGTAGAGAAACTTAACATTTCTACTCTCGGCTTCCAGTTTCCATTGTTTTTTAAAACCTTTTAATTGAAATTTTAGTATCATTCTCCTATTGGGAGAATTTTGTTAAGGAGATCATTCAGAGGACTGTTTCAGACAGTAATCAGTGTGTATGCTTATTAGCTTGGGAAATCTAATTTTGCAAAACACTTATTAAGAAACACAGCAGTCAAAAATCCAGTGATTTTGATGTATCAAAGATACCCACAAATGAACTTACACACACCACTTCCTAATAATAAAGTTAATTATCTTCCTAATAATAAAGTTAATTATAAATAAAGCAATTGAATGGAGGAAAAGAACAAAGGCTTGCAAGAAAATGTTCTGCAGGTCATATGTCAGTATTCTGTGACTATGTCCTCAGTGGGGAAGAAAAACTGAAGAGAATTTCAATGTGGATAAGTGTCAAGGTGAAATTTTCCTTTTGGAATGCTGCTCATTGTTCACACTTTTAATCAGGATATTGGACTGTAATTCACAGCCCTTTAACTAATCCAGTGTTTATTTTAAAACATCATTTTAAAAAATAAACAAAGATGCATCATTAAGAAACTCAGTACTGAAACCAAACACAGACCACCAGGCCATTCCAGTAAAGAAAGTTAATTCCTCTAATTAACCTTGAACTAGCACATCTTCTGAAGGGACAGAAGCCAGAACAGAAGAAAAATGCAACTACCTTTTCTACTTCTTCTTAAGAGGTGTGAAATTCTTCTTATGTCAAAATTAGCAGTATTCACTCTTGGCCTGAGGTGTTTGTCTGAACAAAGTTTCATCAACCAGACACAGAATACTTTCAACTCACATTTTGTGTTGATGCACACTAAGAGGACACTAAGACACATTTTTTGTGCCATGCATTCCACAAAAGTGGATCACGCTCACTTTTGTGTTTCATTGCACAATCCCTGAAGTGCCCTGTGTTCTATTCAATTACATCTGAACTGTGGACCTGACCCCCCTCGTTTGAAGCACTACCTGACTTGATTATAAAAATGAAAGCTGATTTTATGATGTGGAAAATTTCCACACAGCAGAAGTTAAAGGGAAACTGAGATATTAATTTAAACCCAGAGTCAATTTAATTTTAAGCCTCTAGCACATTAGAAGCAACAAGTTATTTGATGCATCAAAAAGCTAAGCCTTTTTCTAGTTTCAAAATAAGGTATGGATTAAGGTAAATTCACAGTTTAATGATAAAGCTCTAAATGAGATTTTGCTTCTCCACAATTCTGTTGTGTAATTATCCCCACAAGGAGAATATGATGCATTTTAGTAAATACAATTCATTTTAAACCCCTTTCTTATGTAACTTAATGGTACATCAGTAGTGTCACTGAATAGTTGCACTGTAGCAGTGGGGCATTTTTTCTTCCTGGACACTGGATAAATAATCTGGAAAAATGTTCACAGCTAACTCAAGCTTCTTAGCAACAGAGTCAAAAAATTTTATTCCTTTTAGGGAATTCTGTTACCAATTTTATCATCTAGGACTGACTAACCGGGAAACCTGAAGCCACTTGAAAATGTATGCCCAATATTCTGGTACTTGGAATAGTATTTTCTTAGGATTTAAAATATTCAAGTGAAAACAAAGAGAAGGACCGTTATCTGCTGTAAAAGTAGCAAGGCATTGGACTGCAAATAGTTGAACAGCTCTTCTGCAGAAGGAAAATATAGAAGTGTTTTGTTAATTAAGTCAGAGGGAAATAAAAGATGTTAAGTTTTACAAAGAAATCAGGAAAGAAAGACATTTTCTGAAAGAAGAAAAAACAGAAGAATTAGTTTACTTCTCAGGATTGATAAGAAGTCTGGTTAAAAAATAAAGGTGATAATATCTTTTAAAATATTACATATGTGTTGATTCTGGGAGAAAAGATCTGGGTCGGTCCTCTGGGCCATCTGCTAGCAGGAAGGAATCTGTTGATTTATTGCTGAGCCGGATTGGAGTGAGTCGTTTGAAGTTGTCTGGCGAATATGGGATCTGCACTCGGGCCCTTTGTGAGGGTACCACAGTGTCTTCACTGGATAACCATGGTGAGAACTTCATGTAGATACTTTGGTCATCATCAGCTGAAAATACTGGGTTATCAATTCCTAAAAAAAAAAATCATAAGTGACAAATAAAAGTAATCAAAATAATTTCTTCATAATACAGCAAGATGCTTTATAAAAGGAGAAAGGCTGTTGGAAAAAATGGGCTGACATACTGATATGTGTGTGACTAAGTCAATACACAGACCATTACACACACATATATCTTGCTTATAGCTAGACATATACTGGATTCCAATAAAGAGAAAAAAAATTGGTTACCACATCAAATTTGCAATTTTGTTAGGGGTATTTTGACACAAAATATAAAATCAATAAAAGAATCAATCAGTCCACAAGTGTTGAGCAAGAGGAAGAAAAAAAAATAGCACAGCATCAAATAAGTGCAGAAAATTCAAATCAAATACATAAAAAAATGTTTTGAAACCCCAACTTCACCACTCCATAAACAGATGAGTGTGAAATAGCTATGGCAGGCCATGAAACAGTCAAAAGTAAGATACAGGAGCCTGTTCATACAGTTATTAAGTTTGAGAAGCTTTTACATAAACATTTTGCATCTTACCATCCACTTATTTCTAGGTGTATTTATACATACTCAAACATAGAATTTGTCACGCATAAACTGCATTTAAGAGACAGTGTCATGCATAAACTGCATGTAAGGGTGTCTGCCACAAGAGTACGACACAAGTGTTTTTCTTCACTGTAGGTACCAATTACATATGGAGAAAACAGTGGCATGCTGAAAAAACTTAAACACAGAAGGGCTAAAGAGAAATACCAAATTTTATAACTCCATAAATCATATGATTTGGTTCTTGTTACATATAGTTATAAGCTTTCAATCTAATATTTTGGAGTCTTTCAAGGCTGGAAATCAAGAGCATTGAGTGCTCCAGAAACGCTGCAATCTGCTTTTTTCAGTGACTTCTGTAAGCCTGTAAGGATCTGATGGGATTGTGAACATAAAAGTAGAAATCTTGCCTGAAATAAGAAGAACAAAATTTATCACAACGAAGTTCCAATGCAAGTGAAAAACAATTCCAGAGGACTAATATTGACTGGTCTTGTGAGGTAAGATAATTCTAAAATAATATTTTCTGCTGCTAGAAATAATTAGTGGCTTTAAAACTGGTTAGGTAGTCATATTCACAATTGCTGTCAGTTTCAAATATGGTGCTCTCCATACCTCCAAATATCCAAAAATATGTATGTTGACATTAATATTAAGCAAATGTATTTTCAGATTGAACACATAAAATCACTCAATTAAAAAACAAACAAAAAAAACCAAAAACCAAGCTAACTCATCAGTATTTATAGTACATTTTGTTATTTTGGGGGGGGGGGATTCTTTGTAGGTAATAAATATTTTTACCAGCAGGAGCATCTGTGAAATTTTGTTTTGTCACATTAGCCAGGAAATCAACTCCTTTGCCTAGATGCAAAGTCTCATAATCATTATTTTCTTCTGATTCAGAAAACTCCAAATCTAGGGGAAAAGAAAAAAAATGCAATTTCATTAGAGATTTGTATCAGTTCTGATAGAAAATGGTATTTCCTGCTGGTTTGATACTGTCATGGTTATTAAAAATACATCTTTAACAAGGATTTTCATCATGTGACACAGGTGAGCATTAGTATAATGATTAGTTTCAAACCTAATAAGGTCATTGCTGCTTCTCTGCAGTAGAATAAGTTTTGCAATAGCTGCTAAACTACTTGCTAAGTCTGCCTTCCAATTAAATGTTTTTGGTGTTAAGTAGATGATGACATCTCTGTGCAGAGTTCTTTAATAAGACAATATTGAATGACCTACTAATGAGTATTCAGAAGGCTCTTCCGAAGCAACGTAGTTCTAGAATATTACACTTGGGGAGCCAACCTGTACTGCTTCTCTCAGTCAAACAAAAATAACACTTAGTAAAGGATTCAAAGATACATAAGGAAAAATATATTTACTTGGAGTTACTGAGAAAAGATAAATTCCTCTCTATTTTACTTGAGTTATCTTTGAGATCAAGGAGTTACATGCATAAACAGAGGAAAGAACACAAATCAAAGTTAGTCCAGAAGCTTTTAACCACATTTCAGTTTTGAAGTGACACATATAATTTAAAATTTTATAACAAACATGTTAGCAACCATGGCATCTGGCAATGCCTGACACCCATGCCAAAAAAAATGGCTAAAACAGAAAAGAATTTTGGGCTTTATATGCAAAATCAGCTTTTGCTAGGAATAGTCTTCAGGCTGATCAGCTTCCAGTTAGACTTCTAAGCCTGATCCATGTGACAGATCTGTTCATGGAGGGTGAAGCAGTACTGGAACTGATCTCTGACTACATATTCCTTCCAAAGCTACACCTTCCTTAAGTTATATCATGCTTGCTTAGCCTCAACTCTGATTCAGACCCTTCTAAAACAGTGGACTTTAACTCAGATAAGAATGCAATCTCAGCTACTGAATTTTACGTGGCGGATATCTTATGTAGACATATCCTGCTGTGATGAAAAAAAATTAGCAGCTCTATGTACCTTATCCTAACAGAAGCTGAAATTTCATTTATATTGTAGCCACTGCATTGTTTTGTTTACAGAATATAAATGTGATACTTTTAAACTGTGAGCAAAAAGGCCAACTAAAATTTTGCTTGTCATCCAGATTCCTAAAAAACCAACTTCTAAACACTTTTTATCATTAAGCAGATCTCATGATTTTATCATGAAGCAGATCTCCACTCCAAGTTCTGAGCTATGACTCAAGTTCTGAGCTATGACTAGAAGTCCCTTTTTAATGCCAGATTTGCTATGGCATATCACAAAATCCTTTAGCGATGCTTTACTGGCAATGTAGCTGGTAAAATTCAGTAAATAAAAACAGTCTCTAAGTGCCTTTTACCTTTTTCCTTCAAAGCAAAATCTTGTACTGGATTTTCTGGAGGAATGTTTCCATTTGGTATGACACTGCTATTTCTCTGAAAAGAAAGCCAAAAGTGACCAAAAATGCTAATGTCATCAGATAGCAATGGCAGTGATACCCTTTGAAATGATGAGTTCAGCAGAATAAGCCTAAAATCCATTGTAATCTTTGTTTGAAGCTCAATGTGGATGCCACTAATTTCCCACCTGCACCTGAAGTATGTACAGACAGAGTATAAAAAGAAACTTTGGCTCTTTTTATGTTGTGTGTTCTCTCAGTTTCACACAAATTTGGTTGAATGCTCCATGCTATCCTGCTATCTCTATCCTGCAAAATCTCCCCACAGTGTAGTAGCATGGTTCAGGGTCTGTTGTTTTTCAAGTGATCAGAAATCTCTCACCCAGAAGAAGAGTCCCAAAGCATAGAGAAGTGCAGAATGTGAGAAGAAGCCCCTTGAGTTATCTCCTAGTTTTATCTCTTCTTGCTTAGGTGCTCTAAATTCATTAAGTTCTATAGGACAGAGATAAGTGCAGGACATAGGATCCATCAGAGTCCTCTATACCCTTCCCACCCATTAGTTTGTATAATAGGTGGCTACATCTAGGTCCTTGTGAAAGTATTTTTACCCTTTTTTGGCCCCGGTCTCGTTTGTGGATTTTATTGAGCTTCTTGGAATGGTTTATTCCTAGTTTGGTACTCTTGAAAGATTCTAAGCGCTTCCTCATTGTCCTATGGAAAATCTCCTTGTCTTGTTTGTCATCTTCACTGTGCATGATCTCATGTCGACTGTACAGGTGTTTGTGCTGTGGCCAGGAAGGGAAGACAATATTCATTTACTGAGAAATACAGGTGAAAGCCCTGAATCAATGCATTTAATCAGTGTCACAAAAGTGTAAACAACTCCATGAGAAAGAGTGAACTAAAGATTAGCCTGAAGGCATTAATGAAATTCCCATTTTTCTTTTTTCTTCATGAAACAAGTCCAGGATTTTTAAGTGTGTAAGAGTGGACTGTCATTCAAAGTAAGCTTCTCCCCTGTAAGTGTCTGAATCCCTTCAGTTGATGCACTTCATTAAATCCTGATCAGAACTTTTGCTGGACTCATTTCTGCATACCACTGGCCCCAGTGATTTCAAAGGCACTAGTTCTTATAAAATGCCATGTTCTTAAATGAGAAATCACACAAAGAGCCCGTCTTCCTCAAGGGTGCAGATTTTGCAGTGGATTCTCTCCTTTTGAGTTTCACTCACAAGTTTTGGTTCCTATTTCCTCTTAGTTTTAGATTGGAAAAGAGTCCAATGCTAGCTTCTGGCTCTCACCTCCTGCCTGGGTTTATACAGGTACTGCTGTAAGGTGTGATGAGCGAGAGTGTCTTCTGTGTCCCGTATACTTTTCCTTCTCTGCTCTAAAGCTTGCATGTCAAGGCAAACTGGTCCAGCTTTTTCTCTCCTGAAGAAAAACACAAACAGTGTTTTTTAAAATCAGTAATTGCTGAAAAGGAAGAAAAACCAGGAAGACGAGGAATGAAAAAGAAAAAACAAGATGAAGTTTAAAAAAAAAAGGAAGAGTAAGAACTGGCTAAATGACAATGAGTAAAAGCCTAATTGGAAGTGTGAGAAGACTATTGGTTTTTGTCTTTCAGGGGGATGTGGCATTAATTAATTTTGCCGTTTACATGACATATGGTCTGTTCAATAACAGATTGATTGAAAAAGTTAAGGAAGGGGCAATTTTTTTCCTTGCCTCTCTCTTTACTTTTTCTGGAGCAAACACAGAAATAACATCTAGCCCTATATATAACAGTTGGTGAACCAAAGGCAAATGAAACAACTCTAATGTGGATGTCTGCTTTATCTTACCATCCTTTACCAAAAAAAACTGTGTGCAAAATATGACATTACAAATCCATATATATCCATTTTCTGTGGGAGAAAATATTAATTAAATTTCAAAAATATTGTGACTGAAACCCCTGTAATTTGCGTTTTTCATTTTTTTTAGCAGTGTTTCAATTTCCTCTCATACACCACCCCATCAGTCCACATTACTTACAATAAATAAGAGACAGAGCTTTCCACAGCACTTGGGAGTGGAGTGCTGAAATCCACATTTACCATGTTGTCTGTACTTGGAGAACGTATAAATGCCAGTGAACCTCTACGTTCTCCCTGGTCAGGGAAAGAAACAAGACATATTACAGCTGTAAAAACCTAGGACAAAATGCATATCAGAATACAGAAAATTTGTAAGACTGCATTTATGCAAATGCCAAAAGAAGCATGGGAGGAGTTGTATTTAGGTAACAAATAAAAACCATTTTTAGATTTTATGGTTTCTTTGCGTTGAGTGACATTATCCCAACAAACAAAGCAAAGAGAAAATCTATTCCACTCTTAGAAATTGATTTTGAAGAAGTGAGTGATTTCCTGTGCCTCAATAGATTTGCAATTTTACTTTGTACAATGCTGCAAGCCAAGAGCATAGGAACATACATAAAGTTGTTTATGTTTCAACACGTTATTAGCAGAATTTTCAAAGACACAACCTTAAGTTTTCTCTTCTCTACCAGACTGGAAGCAGCAAACATTAAGGGGTGATAGAAGTCTACAAGTCTATTAAAAAGAGGTTATGGCATGACAAGATGAGATTTTCTTTCAGTTTTAAAACTGGTGTCATTGAAGTGAACTGCTGGAAAAGCTCAGTTTTATGTCTTCATACTTTTCCCTACACCTAGTGTAATCTCTTGCTTAACTAAAAGGTATCTGTATCATTGTGGTTACACAGGCTGAAAACATCTATGGTTTTGAATCAGTGGAGTGAAATCACATAGCAGGTCTCTAGATTTTAAGCAGTAATAATCAAGAAAAATCACCTCCCTTGCAGAACAGAGATTTTATCTAAATTTCTCCATTTTTAACTGTACTGTGTTCCCTTTACATTTTCATATTCATGGAGCAAACCAAAATCATGTTTTCTTTTGATGTGGTAACCCATATATACATATCACAGCATGTGAGTTACCAATGGCATTAAGAAATATACTGTGGCCTCTGCAGGCAGAAAACTTGAGGCTAATACAATTAAATTCTGTGAGAACATGGTCCCATCCATTTTCTGAAGTGAATCTGATTTTCTTTTCAAATCAAGTTTAATGTTTCATACATACATCATACCATATCAGCTGTGAAGGTATTTTAGCCAGAACAAGTTATGAACCATGAGTATTTTAAGTCACTTCCCTTCAATTAATCAGGGTTATTTTGATTTTTCTTGGCTTAGGTTCTCCCCTCTCAACTGTGAGGATATACTTAAATAGAGACTGAACTCTCTCAATTCTTATTTATTATACAGATGCACCACAGCAGCAGAGTTGAACAAAGAAAAAGATATAAAATAATTTTTAATCTTTTAAGCTTCTCAGTTTCTTGCAAGTAAGAAGAGAGTGAGTAGCTGGGGGAGGCAGGTCTTTACTTGTCCTGGAAGAAATAGCTTCAATTTCAATGTCAGCTTGTAATTCATAGATATTTAGTTCAAAGATATATTTGCAAAGTGAAGTTTTCTTTTAATACATACTTTTAAAACATTGCTTTAACAATTTTTTAGTTGTTAAAGCAATGCATCATTGAAGAAAATATTAAAGTGAGAAAGGTGAAATGACTTTAGGATTCATAACTCATAATTAATTTCTACTGGAAGAAAAGATGTTGCAAAACTTGGAGAACTTAGAGAACTTTCAATTTCTTTTTCTATATATATCAGATCAGTAGACATTTGCCCAACAGAATTTATCTGCAAGAAACAATACACACAAATAGGATTTGGACTAAGGTAACAAAAACCAGTTCCCTTGTGTTTCATCTCCTAAAAAATCATTAAACTAACTTTTAGAAATTTGTCTTTACTATATGGGATCAAAGACATTACTGGATAAAAATTCTGGCTCTAAATCTGCATGTATTAGTGATCTATAAAGGCCTTCGCATCTGCTTCTTAAAGATAAGAAACACTGTAATGAATCTACTAAACAGATTCTGCAATGAATCTGAACATGAGTTTCATGGTTATCCACCTTAAAGTCATTATCCAGCTTTCTTCCTCTGAGGTGTGACCCAGAAAGAATCACAAGAAAGAAAATTAGTTCTTGAGTTCAGATGGTCTAAAAACTATATGGATAATTTTCAAAAATCTCAAAAGGAAGAATTTGCTTGTCTTGTTGAGCTATTCTCCATCTTCCATACTAACATAATTTCTGAATTTTATCTTGTTTTCTGAATTCAATCTCCAGAATGATATGTTTCATTTGAATAAGACTGCCTGGCTGTAGCTCATTTAAAAAAAAAAAAAAAAAAAAAAAAAAAAAGAAGCTTAGCAGTACAAGTAGTATCAATGATTGTAATAGTTTAATAGTTTTTATTTAAATTAAAGAAATTAACTGATATATCACCTAACTGTGAAAGTTAATGTAACTGGAGATTATGAGTATGGATAGATTATAATTTCGAAGACCACTTTTAAAAATATTCCATTTAAAATTATCCTTGACACTTTATCAGTACTGCACATTCATGGCTGTTTGAACTGAGGTGACTAGTTTCATACTGAAGATGATTAGGAACACTTACACAATTGGGCAACATTGCTGCACTACTCCTGTAGAAGGTCAGAAACTTTCTTCAAATCTCCTTTAAAAACTTCTCCTGTTGCAAGTCTTAAGTTTCCCAGTTTCACAACTCTTTGATTGCAATTGATATTTGTAGTGTATTTTACCCTAATTACTGAATCGTGGGGGTTATGATTCCATTGAATAAAGTTACTCTTTTCTTTTTCTTTTTTTTTTTTTTTTTCCTTTTGTGCATGTTACAGTGATCTGGCAGATTGAGATTAGCAGTCCCACACTTTGGCCATATATGCACATCATTTGTGATGTGAGAAGTGAGTTTCTTCAAATCAGATTTGTCATCACATAGACCCACTATCCTGCAGGAGCCAGTGTCCTGTCAACCCTGTTGATGCATTTAGAAAGACACCACCTCTCCAGAATTACAGTATTTTTTTCATGTAATGAATATAAAAACAAAGATATTCAGTAAAATGCCACAGAAACATACATTGAAGTAAGTACAATATACTAGCATTTGGTGATCAGGCACAATATTGAGAACTACAGTTTCTCAAAGCAGCAATACTGACACTCAAAACACATTAAAAAAATAAAATATCCATCTCAGCAGAGCTGAGATGGAAATCGTTTTCCTTTAGGCATCTCCTGCAATAGATCAACTTTTGGTTATAGTACAAATTTTAAAAAAACAAATTCCAAGTGACGCTATAATATGTCAACAAGTGTTCATAAGTACCTCAGCCACATAGCTAATTGCATCCTTCAAGTTGAGCTCATGGAAAACATTAAGGATTTGGTCCCTTGATTTTTGAGCAGACCTTCTCATCAGTATTTTTCTGAGGTATTTCCTATCAAAATTGGACCACCTGATAATTTAAACAAACTGTGTTAATGGCAACAAGCAATTTTAGTTTCAAAGCATTTTTAATTTAGTACATATTATATTTTTTTAGCTAAACACTTTGAGAAAAAGGGTGAACAGTGAAATGTGAGGGATTTGTGTCTTGAAGCTCTACCATTAGTGTGTAAATAAAGTTAAGGAAAAGCCTGCTACAGACTTATGCAGCTGTCACAAAGCATTTAATCAGTTCATTTAGCCAACACTACTACAAGAGTGCTATTATTACAGTATCCCATTTCAGAGTCAGTAACACATTTTATACCTTGGGATATTATGCTACCTTATTTTTCTACTTCTGATTATGTTTAATTTTCTTCCCTTGTTGAGAAAGTAATCTGCTTTTTCCCAGGTGTATTGTAAGACAACCAGACCAGAAAATCAGTTCAGAATGACAGTGCCCTTCCAGAAGCTCTACCAGAGGGCCTTACTCATGCCACTGATGTGCTCTGCTCTGGGGATAGTAGCCACGTGTATTTTCAACTATTTACACTTCCAAGATTGTCTGGTAGTAGAATATCTGCCCTGTCATGTTTAGGGCCCAAAAGATTAAAGGCTGTTGTACTTTCTTCTAGCTTCCTCAACACTGCATCGAAAGGGCATGAGGCAGCTTTGGAGACTACTGGTCAGAATCCATCTTGCCCAAGGGCCATTTTGAGTTTACAGCTTTTGATTCAGATTGCTTAAACCATTTTTTGTTAAATATTATTCACATAATTGGTAACTATTCCTCTTCTCTGGCCAGAACATCTGACCAAAAGGCTCTAATTCAGGTTTCCACACCTGGACCTATTGGTGAGGATGCTAGGGGTTGCCATTTCTTTATGGAAGCAGCACTCTCATGTACATAAGAGTCCAAAAGGCAGGCTTAAGATGGTCACATTTGTCATCAAGCTACATACTCAACCATTAATCTACATTAAGCTATTCCTTCTGTTCTTACTCAAGGGGATTACTTTCTGACATGCAAAAGGTCACATGCTAATCTGCTACTTTAAAAATATAGCTTTATCTTTGAGTCAATATATCAAAACTGGAGACATATTTGCCTATATTATATATAGCCTACTGAAATTTATTCCCAAAAAGTAAACTACAAACTTAGACCAAAATAAAGATGATTTTCTCTCTGTAGTGCCTCATGAAATTTTTTAATTGCATAAACAAATGAAGAGCAAAAGGAAAAGGAGAATGTCTCTATAACTGGATGCAGGTGAGAAATTCTCTTTGAGTTCCAGTACAAGCTAGCTTCAGCCTAAGAATTTTATTGTTTTGCATGATAATGTTAAACCTAAGCTAATAGACTCAGCTTCTCAGAAAGCATTAGTGCTCTGCAGAAAGCTATCACAACCACATAGCTTTTGGATTGGAATTGGCATGTTGACTCAGCAAGAGGTTAGCAGCTCAAAACTGTGACTGTTTGCACCTATTAAATAACCTGACTCCAGGGACAGAATGGCCTAACTTGAAATAACAGTCTTAAGGATTTCCAGATTTAATGCCCTTTTTTCCACTTTTATTCATCCAGGTATGGAAGCGTGTCCATCGCAAGGGTAAATCTTCGCATGTACTTTAAAGGAAATGGTCTTTCAGCTGAGTAATTCTGCTTCTCTCTAGATGAATCAACTATAAACAGAGGAGATGGTTCACTATTGGTTTCAGACTAATAGGCTGAAACTGTCAGAGCAATTTCAGAGCACCCTCTGCCATAACTTTCACAGGTGTTGAACACATCCTTATAGAGATAGGATAAACAGCTAGCACAGTTGTAACTGAGCTTTTTAGTGCCTCCACACATACATTCATGAAATGTAGTAGTACAAAGAAAAACCAACATTAACATTCCAGGTGAAAACTTCTGCAAATAGTCAGTTCTCTAATCTTGAGAGAATAAACCCTGTATGTGAACTGAGGCACCTACAAAGGCATAACCTGAAATGTGGAAGAGAAAGGAAAGATTTTAGTTGTAAGGGGACAAAAATACACTGTTTTGACTTTTGCTATATTTCCAGTATTTTCAGTATGCTGCCTCTTTAACAACATTTATCATCCTTGCTTTCATTAAGCTCACAGGCTTAAAAAGTTATAATGTACAGATAATATTTCCTAGCAGTATTTCCAGATTCCAAATTGGTTACTACTTACTTGTCTCTCAGATAATGATGCCCTATTTGTCCAGAAATGTCTTCTATAGCAGAAAGAATGTGATCAAAGGCCTAGGAAAGAGAGAGTGGAATTAATATCTTTACAGAAATAAAAACGCATAATTAGAAAATAGCTCTATTTATTTCAAGTTGTACCAGGTGACTATGCAGAATAATTTTATGGCTGTTATAAAACTTTTTCCCCATTTACAGAAGTACTAACTACTATAAGCTTTTCTTCAAAGGTCCTAAACTTTCTAACCAGTTCTTCATAAATTTACTAAGTATTCTTGAATTACAAGGGTCTCAACGAGAAGGTACTTAAACCCCCTTTTTAACATTCAATTTTAAAACTTCTATGGACTCATTTTACCATCTCCATTTCTGCCCTATTAAGTACATCTGCCACTATTAGTGTAGGTGACTATTTCAGTTGAGCAGTTTCCACAGTAATTCTTTTTAGATGTTTCAGGAGTTGATATTTCTCTCAGAGTAGAAGTAGGCAACATTCTTTTCATATCCAGGGCAAAATTTCATACTGAGTATATTATCTGGCTGATAGAAATCTGGAGGCTTAAAACTCTTGAGCCAAACAAAGGCAGCTGCAGGTACAATTTGGCCTTTTTCTGTGTATGGTTATAACATTTCACTCTGAACATTGGAATGATTACTGCAGAATTTTACAGATGCTAGGTTTGGAACAGCAGGACTGACATTTGGCACTAGTGAGGCTGTATCTCTAGTCCTGTGTCCAGTTCTGGGCCCCTCACTTCAGAGAGGACATTGAGGTGCTGGAGCATGTCCAGAGAAGGGCAACGAAGCTAGGAAAAGGTCTGGGACACAAGTCCTGTGGGGAGCAGCCAGGGGAGCTGAGGCTGTTAAACCTGGAGAAAAGGAGGCTCACTGTCTATAACTACCTGGAAGGATGCTGTAAGCAGGTGAGTGTTGGCCTCTTCTGCCATGTCTCAAGTGAAAGGACAAAAGGAAATGGTCCTCAGTTGTGCCAGGGGAAGTTCAGATTAGATTTCAGAATAAAAAGTTTTCCCTGAAACAGTGGTAAGCACTGGAATAATTTGCCCAGGGAGGTGGTGGAGTCACTGTCTCTGGAAGTGTTCAAGAGCTGTCTGGGTGTGGTACTGGGGGATATGATTTGGAGGTGACTATGGTGGTGATATGTTCATGGTTGGACAGGATGTTCTTGAAGATCTCTTCCAACCTTGATGATTCTGTGATATCTTATAGTCTCCCATCCTTTAACGTATATTTATATTGAAAAGTTATGTTTTCTTTTACTTAAAGAAAACTTTATAATGTGATGTGAAAGTCAATTGGAAGAGTTTGTGTTTCAAAATATTCTAAAAGGGTAAAGAAATCCTGGGACACAACATTCACTCTGAATTAAAACTGTTGTCATTAGTCTGGAATTTCAGTATATAATTATTCTGTACTGGGCAGCAGAGTATTTTTCTATGTAATATGCAAACAGAAAAGCCTGCTTTCATACCTTTTCCAAAAATTAAACTTTTGAGAAGGAAAAATAAATTTTTTTGGACATGCTTTGCCCTAGCAATTATCAATCATTCTCCTCTTTTAGATGAAGACAAAGAAACATATTCCATCTGTCCTGTTTCCCAAGTACTCCCAGCCCCATTGAATTCTCAAGTGAAAGACCAGAACTTTCATATTAATATCCTTTCACAAGATTTAACCATAGAGAAACAGCAATGTACAAATAAGTTTTGAAATGTTTGAAGGATTTTTTTCTTGATATTTGACAGCCCACTCCCTTACCAAAAAAGATATTTTTAATAACAATTTTTTTTCTCTTAAGGTGCTCTGTAAAAATGAAAAAGATACCATGAGGTCTTTTTTAAACATCTTACTCTGCCATGAAGTTTCTCATTCAGTTTTGGTTCTCTGTGTTCAGTTTTCTTCACTTTCAGCCACTGTACCAAAGGTTTGATAGTCAGTCCCTAAGGATTGAAACATGACAATAAATGCTTGGAAGTCCTCTTAGACTTTCCTCCAGCTGGTTAAACAGAAATAAAGCACATATGTGTTTTATTTGGTGGTTCTCATACTTTCTCAGTTGATTTCTATTCCTTCTAGAAGATAAAATAATACGGTACCCTTAGTTCCTATTACAAAGATTTGAAAAGACAACAGTGGAAAAATATATCATTTATAAGAAAAATATGCTAGTAGAAGTGTTTCCTATGCCACTGAATGTGGTCTTTTCTCCACAAATCAGGAGTTTGTGAACACAAGTAAATTTTCTGTAATACACTTCAAAATATATTGTAAGCTGCTATCTACTGACTTATTTTCATTTAAAATACTTTTTTTCATCCAGAAAGTACTATTTTGTTTGGATGTTAAATAGTTTCTTGTCCCACTGCTTGCTACTATATTTTAAAACAAGGGCTGAGGCTCAGCTAGATCAGCTTAATGATTGTATCTGCCCATTAAAAGCACTGTTCCCTATAGTTATCCACATGAGGTGAAGGATGTTTAATCAGATATTAACTTGGTACTATTAATACCAAGCAGGCAAGACTGAACAATTTTTAGCACAGAGGAAATTGTGTTTTGCCCCATGTGGTCCCACATCAAAACATAAAATAGGATCTTTGTTACTAAAATTAGAAATTCAATTATGTTTTCAGTTCAGTGAAACAATATGCAACCTTCAGCTGAGTACTGCCTTAAGCATTCAGTACATTCGGGGGACTCCTTCTCCTTGCAAGAAGCGTGTTTAAGAAGTTAAATTACCTGGAATATAACAGTAAAAAACACAACAATGATAGTTGTGCTGACAAACAGCTTTCTGTCTTTCACTTTATTCCCATCCAGAAGTGCAACAAGAGCAAAAGCAACTGCTCCTCGTAGCCCACCATAGGACATCACCACCTGGTCTATTATCTCCAGCTGGACAGTTCTGTAGCGGTTAAGAATCCACGTCTGTATAACCACACCTGTAAAAAACAAATTTCAGCATGTCTAGAAATACCCTAATGGAACGTCAATATCCCAGCTGTGAGTAACAGAAATGCCTTTATAACAATCTTCACCATCTAATTCCCCCTCTTATCACTGTGTTGTCCACTTAGTGCCTTCTCATTACATCCAGCTGAAGGAATTAGGTGAACATGCTTCTGTAAGCCAGCAGCTAGCTCTTCTGAGAGTGCTGCCCTCTGGCACAGGCACTCCAGGGAAAGTTCTGACATGTGCTGGCCTTTAGAAATTCAATTTTAGGTTTTCTAGCAGTGTAACCGGTGATATGCACAGGGTCAGTTAACAGAAACAGGTTAAAACAGCACTGATTTAGGGAGTAAGTGTTGTACCGTTTGCAAATCACTGAAAATTACATTTTGTAAGACAAGTCATAGTCTTATGAAGGGCTGTTTAGTTATGCTAACACTGTCTCCACACCTACAGGTGAGATGCTGCCTGCTGCAGGAGACCTAAGGCTCAAGCTATCTCAGTGTATCCCAGAACTCCCTCCATACATAGGGAAAACAGCTTCACCACTCCTGTGATTGGAGTGCCTGGCATGTGATTCCCACTGCAGCAGGCCAGGGCTGTTAACCAGTGCAAAACAGTTTCTTCTCTTTTTAGAGAACTTTGAACTTGTGCCAAGAGAAGTGTCTTGTCACTGTAAGGAGGGCCTCCGGAGGAGGGGACCTTGGAAATTCTACCAATCTGACTCCTCCAGGGAATGAGAACTGCAATTATGTATGGCCCAGTATCATCCAGTATTTAATAATTTGTCAATGTCCAAGATCAATTACTTTAGTGGGTGCTTATTGTTATTGCTGAATATTTACTATTTACTTATCATCACATCTGTTACAGGATTGTTAACCACTCATTTGACAAATACAAAAAGTGTCAAAGACAAGGCCCAGAAAACTCTTTTAAAACACCTCAGGCACATTTGCAGTTACTGAGAGGCAGCTAAACGAACAATACTTGCAGAATATTTAGAAAAGGAGGGCAAGGAGGTAAGCACTTCAATCAGCTCAGGAGCTTCTGGAGAGAATAAGAGCACAGAATCTAGGAAAATCGCCAGCTAGATGGATGTGTGACCTGTCATTTGAATTTAAGTCAAGGCAAACAGGCAAATAAGCTGGTTTAATTTTTCCCAGGCGTAAGTACATACACCAAATTGTCATGTGTGTTACTCTCTAAAGTATTTCATTCTACAGCTCTTTTGGGATTTTAGCAAAATTACAGCAGAACTATGTAGATGGGCAAATCATCATTGGTATTTTGAAATGTTTGCAAACTTATATAAACCCAGTAAATTGACAGTAGGTAATCTCTACCTGCCACGGCCTTATTTACTCAGTTTTTCATCAGTCCCTGAGAATTATTTCTTAAGCCAGAGAACCTGCAATGTTATTATGTATGGTCTGATATCACTGTGTGCCCAAAACCTGAAGTCAACCATAACATTAGTTTAGGACAATCTCTTTCGTGCCAAATTGAAAGAGCTGGAGGAAAGATATGGTTGACAAGAGTCACATCTCTTGTTAGACTGCAAATTAAAGAACAAAGTCCATTTTACTGGGAGATTTTGCCAGTACCATTTGCTGAGTCAACAAAGGTTAGCCACTGAATGATTCATGTTAACTGCTGGGCTACTCATGTTCTCAAACATCATCAGAAATTAAATCCTGCTATATTTTCAGCGTATGACAGAACTTACTGTAGAACTTACTCTACTACTCTAATCCAATTCCAACAATAAATTCAACTAAAATAAATGGAATGTTTTAAAAGGAGCAAAGCTAGAACTCCAAATATTTTTGGGGGAGAGGGCTAAAGAATATGTGATTGCATCAGCAGTACAATGCAAGAACAGGAAGGTCACTCTCTTACCAATAACTCTGTATACTGAGATGAAGACCAGAGTCAACAGAATAAAAGCCGTATTCCAAGTCCAGATTTCTGGATCCACAGCTGAAATACCCAGGAACATGAAGATAATAGTTTCTGCTCCACTAGCTAGCATTTTCATAGTATATCTTACAGTTGTAGAAGACTGTTCAGATATGTTAGCCTTGACATATTTCTGACAGCAAATGCCACAGAAGGTTATCCTAGAAAAAGAAGCAATTGTTCAGAAAATATGTGTTGCAATATTTAATATTATTTCCATCTGTCTGTCACATAGTGATAAAAACCCACTATTAATTCCTAAGAAAAGATATATTCATGAACACTTGTGGAGTCTACCCTTGGTAAAAAGCATATCACAAACACACATGCTGATGTAACCTCAAGTGGCCTGAAGACAGCACATATTAGAACATAATACAATGCAATTCTCTTCAGATTACCATACTGCTTTCAATGCAAATTTCTAAACCTTGTTTACATTAGATATAATCTTAAACTAATGATCTGTTTGCAGAAAGATTTTCAGAACTTGAATACACTTACTATATCATCTACAAACATGACAAAACTGAGAAGAAAGGCATGCTGGGAATCAATGGAGACTAAGAGAAGAAAGACCACAGAAGTACTCAAGCCAAAACAGGCAACATTTAGGCAAATCTTAATGTCCAGCCAAGACAGAGAGAGAGAGACATAGTGACATTTACACAGTGCCTTAGAAAAATATTGCTTTAGTCTCAAGTTATCAGGAAAGATGTCAGCACAAATGGACAACTGTTAAGTCTGAAATATTATTAATAACAGACAGAAAAGAGTCATGTCTGTATTTTGCAAAAGAGTTCTTGTGTTTTGCTCAGCAGATACTGAAAAACTTGCATTCCTTTTCAAGGCTGAATGACAGGACTGGCAAATTATTATCTAGTGCAGTGTGAACATAGTATTATCCAGCATAAACTTAATGTCATATTCTACAGTTGTCCCATATAATTTAGGTTTTTTCCTTTCAATGTTTTAAAAACCATATTCCCTTCTCATCCCCTTCATAGACAGTAATAAAAAGAGACTTACGCTAAGATGGCAGAAAGAGAAAGCATCTCTGCTGTGAGGTAGGACAGGTAGGAAATGATAAACACAAATCCAGGTTCAATGATCCTCACGTGCTTGGTGAAACGACTGACCAATGACAGCAGGAATGCAAAGATAATACCAACCAGTGTCCCACCGAGGCTCACCACAAAGAATGACACTGAAAAACAAAACACCTAACACAACTTAAACCATAGAAATAGAATGGTTTGAACTAGTTCTCTTCCAGAGACAGGACAGCGAATGACCAGTAAATCACAGAAAAATTTGGAGGACATGTCAAATTCATTTCTAGGCTCAAGGATTTTGAGCACTTGGTACATGAATGTAGAATTCTGTAGAAAAACAAGGCTACTTCTGTTAAGCCTCACCATTTGACTTTTATTTAAACCCACTGCATTTCTGTATACTATTTTTTCCATGTTCTGTAAACAATTGTTTTTTACAAAAACACATTATAGAATATGACAAAGTCACTATCAAAACATTTATTCATAAGATAATTCAATTTCGTTTCATGCAATGCTTGGAATGGGAAATAGTGACTCATTTTTCAGGGAAAATTTCTTGGTTGTTACTGGCAAACATAGCTTGATGGTGATCAGTGATAGGGAGCGGCAATGCCTGTATGCAGTATGGACTTTCCTGGAATGCAGGGAGAGCATAGGCTGAAATCTGGGAAACACTATTAAATACAAAGAAAAGCTGTATATCTGTCAGGTTTGGTGTTCTCAACAACTGAACTCCGCATCAGTCTCCTCAAAAGAAAACAGATCTGATTAAGTTTCCCAAATATTCAGGAATGTTTATTTATTTATTTTCTTAAGACATTTGCCTATGCCATAATATGCCATAAGAGTGTGTGAATATGAGTAATAATGAAAAGGGCGGAAAAATAAGTTACCAATAGCATAATAGTAATATTTTGTTTAAAGTACTGCATATATACACCAATTGTGTGATACAGAATTCACTTCTACGCACCTATGCCTTTGAGACATTCAATCCCCGTCACATTTGTTTCACCTATCGCAACAAAAGAGTCAAACACATTGTACAGCACCTGGAAAGAAAAGTAGACTAATTTAATAATTGCTCCTGAATTGAGCCTATTAAAATAATCTCCTTAGGAGCCTCAACATTATGAAGCCTGAAATTGAGTTTGACTGAAGGAAATCCTGTCTCGAAGAAGAATTTTATATTTTCTCAAAATAAAAGAAATGCAGTAGGCCAAGAAAAAACAGGTTTTTTTAAAATTAAAAAATAACACCTCACAGCAATACATTTCTCCCTTCAATATATCCCCTATGAATAAGAAGCATTGTTACATGTAGATGTATTTTCTAAAGTACTTCTCACTGTAAAATCCAGGTATTTGAAAGATTCATTTACTCACATGTATAAGATAAATAAGATATTTAATAAGACAATAATAAGATGCTTATAATAAGATACTGAATTGAAATATGATGAATAAGTTGAACAAAAAAGAGAATATAATGATTGTGCTAAAACTTTTTAAATAATTGACTAACAGTGATTGAGCTGAAATAAATGAATTCACCTTATCCATACCTGTGCCTAAGGAGGTTTATGAGTATCATTTTTGAGACATACCAATTTTATCTGCGCTTAGTTCCTCCAGTGGTGAATGAGGACTTTACTATGGCTTTCTCAGCTTTCCTTCTTGCAGCTAAACTTGATAATTCTTATCATGTTCATCCAGTCACGGGATACAGGTTACTTTTCTTCTGTAACAGTATTCTTTTACATATTTATGTTTAAAGAAAGCTATACCATCCACTTTCTTCTGTCTTCCAGTCTTTCATTTTTCAAAGTAGTAACTCCACTGTTTCAAATTTCCTCATAGGCTGTGCTTTCTACCTCTGGATCATACTTGCTCTTCTGTTTTTTCATCAATGAACAATCAAACTTTTTTTTATTTGTAGACTGTTTGTGTTCATTTCACAGTAACAAAATCTCCTTTCCTTTTGAAAGCCAGCGATGTTGATACTTGAGTTCATCAGAGGTTTATTTTAATTTTGGCAATACCTCAGAAGTACTAATGATACCGATATCCAAGGGCAATTAGGTTTCTTTGGAAGCCATACTGTAATCTTCAAACTCATGTGAACAGTTAGACTGCTGCCAATAACCTTGGAATGCTTTATCTCCTTGGCTGCAAAAAGTTAAGTCCCTGAGCCTCATGAACATCTCTTACCCTCTCTTGCAGATAGGCAGGAGCAGGAATTGTAAATGATTCAAAAGTGAACTGAAGCTGCACAGCAACCTGGTTGCATAGCATCTTTCTGCCTTAGGACTTCCTGGTCCCTGACCACTAGTACTCCACTACAAAATTATTCAAGGAAAACTACAATTTTATTCAGGGGGAAAAAAATTGTGTGATAAGGTGTTTCAATCAAAATAAAAATCAGTAGAAGTCTGGGATTCTGCTATATCTATTAAAGCTTTTCTAAATTTTAAAAAATGTTTGCAAAAAAAAACCATTAGAAACTTTCTAAAATGTCACACATTTTTTTTCCCAAATTGGCTCTTTGTTATATATGTGTTTGATAAACATCTGATCAAAGTATAACTAAGGGAGCAGGAATAAACTTTGGAGAGTATTCTGTCTCTCACTGGCTGAGGTATGCATATAAATTATGAGCATAACACAAATATAGAGAAAAATATATGTGCATTAAAAAATAAGAGCAAAGGAAGGTTTAAAATCCCTGGAACTGATTTCATTAAGTCATGAAAGCCCTACTTAAACAGCAAAGGAAAATAAAACATGCACCCTTGAAACTTCATTTGTAGAGTCTAACCCAGGACTGTGTGTTTTATGTCACTTACCATCTCCAAATAACTTTCATGCTCAAATATCTGATATTTGTAAGCAAGACAGAAAGCACCATGAGATGCATTGCAGTAGTCCATGAGTAGATATACTTAGAGAGTACAGTGCTTCTTTAAAGGGGAAAATGCACTTCAGTAGAAATCCCCTTGAGTTACATTGACTTTGGGATATATAATTTACTTACCACAGTTACAGCATCATTCAGAAGTGATTCTCCAAAAACAATGATGAATAGAACTTCATTGACATGGACTTCTTCAAACACTGCCAGAACAGCTACAGGATCCACAGCAGCAATTAAGCTGCCAAAAAGGAGGAAGTCCAGCAGCCCAGAGTGCAGTTCACCTTCAAAAACAAAGCAAACAAATTATAAGCAGAATAATCTCTGTATTATCATTAGCAATGACAGACTGGGATGTTACATGTAATGCCAAATACTGGAAAATAGAGATGCCAAGGTATCAACTTGAAAGCATGTTACAGTGACTCCTTAAAAAGTTCTGCACTGAGTCATGTTTTATCCTGCAAGTTTTGTTGGATTCAGCATTGGCCCATGTGGATCAAAGTTACTTCTGGGAGCTGGACCAGTACTGGCCTGTTCTTGTTACAAGACAGTTCCAGATCTAAACCAGCTTTCTATTTGTGTGTGGCATGGTTTGTCTAACTTGACTAAATTACCCCAAGATAACTGAGAACTCACAAGATGTTAAGAGGACCATACCAGCACTTTTAAAGTAAATGTCCCAAAATATTTCATGTCACAGGTCAAATTTGAGTTTTGGTTACTAAGAACTGCTACAGTGGTGTTTAACTGCACTCAGTACAACTGAACACCAATTGTGGCCTCCTTACTCACTGGTAGTTGTGGTTAAGCTACTTGTTCCCAAATTAGGATTCATGAGGCTGTTAAATTGTCTGCAAGTAGACCATAAAAATAGATAAAGGACCAAAATGTACCTCAACATATTTGTGTTGAGGTACATGTAGCCCCTAAGGAATTTTGGCAATGATTTCAAAAGTTTTGAAGGTACAAAACTCTGGTGACAGTGTAACCTAGTATTTTTTTTAACCTGCTTTTAGTTATTAATGTTATTTTGTTCAGTTATGCAAAGAGACAAAGGCAAGCATTCACTCTCATTTTAAAAGTAGCAGAAAAAGAAAAGTAGCATAGCCACAAAAAAATGCTTTGCTCAGCTTCCTAAATACCTAGCAAAATCTACCCTCCTCATGAAATCAAAAGTGGAAACCTAGTCATTGTTTTCTAGAGAAAAGATTTCTGAGCAGTAAAATTCCCTTTGCGTTCATCAATGGATAGAGGAAGCAAGGTTCATGAAGAAATGATGTTGCCAAAAATCATTTAAGGAACAGCAAAGAAGGAACAGGTTGAGAATTCATCCATTAAAACACAATGCAGAGGCCCATGCCCAAAATTATCAGGCATGATTTCTACAGGTAAAGAATAAATTAATCTAATTAAATGGTTTTTAAACATGAGTCAGCCAATGACAGTCAGTAGCCATAGCCACAGAATCAACAGTGCCTGTAAAGTACTTCCAGAACAACATGGCTACCCCTCTAGAAAGGACACTGAAAAGTAGTTTTTCAAATTCAAAATGGTTTGGGCTTAGAATGTAAATGAAACAGAAACCAGATTCCAAATGGTTTTGATACAAAATGTCATAGGCTTATTTATTCAAGAAAAGGATACTTGTATGGGCAGTCAGAGGCAGGAGTAAACAACATCCTGTTATATGTGACAATGCCCAATATTTCTGGTGGAGATGCAGATGTATATATTCTCTTAGCTACTATCTACCCATCAGAATATCTACAAGATTTCTGTACAGTTTGTAGGGATCTTGGTATGGCCCTGAAAACAGAAATTCATAGCTTGCACAGATGTATAACTACCTTATTTTTTCAAGAAGATAAATAGTCTTGTTCACACTTGGACTTATGGGGCTGTGAACAAGGACTGTGACTATCAGTTTTAGTGTGCGAGTGGGGTGAGGCAGTGACCTGAAGTCTGTGCCAAAAATTCTGAAAACTGCCTTGAACCTAAATCTAAGCAATGGTTCAACCAAATGTTGCCCTCCTCAAGCAGGCTTAAGGAAGGAACAAGCCCAATGACAATAAATATCAGATATCAGGGTATAATAGAACATAAGGTTTGAAAATAAATTGGCTCACTGAGATTGCTTATCTTTTTTATGTGTTATCAATTATAATCATTGGTACATTCTTTGAAGACTTGCAAATCTAGTAAGCAAACATTTATGGGGAGATTAGGACACATCTATAAATCCTACAAAGCACTGCCAAGAGGCCTGTAGTTTCTAAATCAGTCTTTCATTTAGAGTAATAACAGCAGTTATTTTCAATTGGTACATGACCACGGCTTCCTCTAGCTCATCAGTGACACCTAAGATATGTTCACTGGACCCAGTTTAAGACTTTTAGACACACTCAGCATATTGCAGCTATGACCCTAGATTGTACAGAAAAAACTGTTCCAAGAACTAGTCACAACCACAATACTGCAAGCGTTAATTCTCCAGTGGACAGTGAACAGTTCACTGCAATCAGCAATTATGTAATTCTTCTTATTCTGTGAAAGCAGACTGATAGTCTGGTTAACAATTGGTTAACAATTAATGTGCTAATCTTCTTATTTCAGTTCCAAATAAGGATTTCTTCATCATTATCACCTTCTCCATTTTCCTTCTGGAAATTATTATATCTCAAGGGTATTGAGTGCCAACAAAGAGCTGATTTTATGTTCATTTATGTAGGAAATCTATGCAATCCAGTTTGGATTATGCATTCTTGTATTGAGGGACAGTACTACAAGTCCACTAAATGTCAAAGCTAGAAGTCATTTGGTTTTAGTTCATCTTAGTTTGTAGCAGATATACATTTCTACATTTTAATGATATTACTTTTATCATTATTCACTTCAATTGTAGAACAAATGGGATATAAATAAATATGGAGCCATGGAGCTTCAACCAGAAGATAGTATGAACTCTTCTGGAAACTGAGCAACTCAGCATTCTCCTGTCTTCAGCAAGTAACAACATAAAGGTTTTTCACAGTGTGGTGCTTAGATCTTGTTGACCTCTTGGAGGTTAACACAATTGATTTAGTAGATTAGTAAGTTGGTGTCATGTTGATATTTTACACTCCTACTCAGCTTTGCTGAAGAATGACATTGTTTGAATCAGGGACAGCCTTGTCTGGCCTTTTTCACAGCTGGAATTAGAACCCTTGTAGGTCTTCATGGCAAAGACAGGTCGCCACAGTACACAAATAATGCTCTTTCTAAACATTAAAGTTTGCCAGATGTCAATTTATCATTCTCCTTATTTATTAACATCCCCATATTCATCTTGTAGAGCTTTAGCTGTGACCTGTGATAGGGGCTGATTGCCCTGTGTAGCTGTAAGCTTAGAGTTCTAGTATGCATTGCCACTAAAATATTCTCATACTGATGAAGCAGAACATATAACTATCAAACCCAGCTTTTGCAGTTAGTCATGAGTTGTTTACAGATTGGGAGGAGAAGAATAATTTAAGTGAATTTTCCTGCTAAAATAGTTTTTTTGGGAAAAGAGTCAACTTTTCCATTTCACACGTTGTAAGGAAATCAATCCTTTCCATTTAATGACTTATAGCAACATATTTTTAAAGTAATTATCATACATTATATTTCCAAGAACAGTTTTTTTAAGAAAATATTTTGGTCCTATTTTTAAATTGTTCCAAGCATCTTGGATATTTAATAAAGAAATCCTTTTCCAATTTGCAGTAAAAATATCCCTGTCATACATTTTCTTTCTGAACATCTGATTTTAATTATAAACGTGATATTGTGGATTAAATATGTTGCTTAAAGCACAGTAAACCTCTTATCTACCAAAAAAATGCCAAAGATTTTTGCATCTGAGCTGTCTCCCCTGTATCTTCTTAAGAAAATATTACTGCTTCTAAAATAACATTTATAATAAGGTAGATATCTAAAATGCATCCATCATAGCTGTCTATATTACAAACATCTGCAATTACATAACATGAGTCTTAAATGAAAGTAGAGATTAAATACTGCTGTTCTGTGCCTCCTCTTACAGCCCTGTGCCCTTACATCACAGTGTAATTAAGCCAAAGTGACTTGGAATCACAGAATGGTTTGTGCTGGAAGGAACGTCTTACACCCTCCAGTTCTGGGACACCTTTCACCAGACCAGGTTGCTCAGAGCCCCATCCAACCTGGCCTTGAATGCTGCCAGGGATGGCCCATCCACAGCTTTCCAGTGACCACAGTGACCACCCCCACTTTTTGGATTTGTGGTCTAGGAAATTGTGTGTCAGCCACCCTTTCAAGCCCCTTTGAACTGCTCCCATTAAAATGCCTTCCTTTTATTCTTTTTTTTAGTAAGACATCTGCTACTTCATTCTGTAAAACTTCTACATCGTGTTACAATTTCCAGACTCAGAAAATGCAGAAGAGATGTGTAGATGGGTCATGCATATATATCCACTCAGTAGCCACTTAATATTGGATAATACTTACTATAAATAGCACTTAATTGCATGAATAATATTAAATACAATAATAACATTCAATATTAAATAGCAGTAAAAATAACACATAATTCTAAGGCTGACTTCAGGAAGACACTTTCATTTCAGAGTAACTTTTAAGGTTTCTATAACAGCAGAAAGAAACAAGCCCTTTAGTGTGTATTTTTTCCAGATGTCCATTAGAGAAAGAATCCTGAGCTTTATCCTGAGAGTGTGCACACACATTTGGAGCAGGACATCATAAGAGACATGGATTCAAGTAGCTTTTTCAAGTATACTTTTGGTAGGGAAGATTTTTTCCTAAAAGGTCGTTTTAAAATTTGATAAAGATATTACAAATTGCTCCCATTAAAATAATTTTTTTCTGCTAGGAAGAGTTGTTACATTGTAACTTATCACCCACCTAACAGTATCTACAATGGCATTCATAACTGTGTCTTCGTAAATCAAACTTACCCATTATTCCAGTCAGATAGACACCGTAGAGAGATAAACCAGTTGTGGCAGCATTCCAGACTGTCCCAATGACAGCATACAAAAGGATGGAGCCAAGATTTCCAAAAAACAATCTATTTGGCATAAAATATCCAGCATCCAAAACAATGGGGGGCAGCAAATAGAAGAAAAATACAGTTGGTGTCAGGGAGAAGGAGGCAAGGTGATCTGCTGCCCATACAATGCCACCAAGGAAAAGACCAAGGACGATCAGCAGAGCACTTTCTGGAACCACCCGAGTGACTTTGTGGGACAAGTGGAAAACTGCAAGGAAACACAAAAACAGTGAGTCAGAAATGAAATGGAGGAACAATTTGAGCAACTAACTTTGATAACTGGCAATTTTGAATCCACACAATCTTTTTGCTTTCACTGTGATTAGACACAAAAGCGTGTATGGAATGTTTGGGAAACAGACACTTATAGAATAAAAAAAGAGTCGATCTTCAGATTTTATCCAGCATATTTTAACTTATATGAAGCCAATATTCCATGACATTTATATCCTTCATTGAATTATCTTCTCTTAACTAGATCTGTTTAGGGAAAGATGATGGTCTGTGCAAAGCAGTAAGTGAAAGGCTGAAAAGAAATGGAGAAGTCCTGGAAATGTATGATATTATGGTTTATTTCTGTAACTAAAAATACACATCCAGCCTCCTAATTATTGTCTTTAAAAATTACCAGTTTATTAACAGGCTTATTGGAAGATATGACACGAAGGCTGCAAGAACTAGTTTCAAGACAACTCTTTTTAAATGCATAAATATTCTGATAATGTCGCCTGCAGCAGGAAAAAAATGAAGCTTCTGATGGGAGATCCCTTTTGAGTCTTTTCTTCAAGACATCCCTAATAAGGATTTCTTATAATTCAGAGGTTTTCTGAAGGAATTGAGGCTTTAGTGGTTCCTTCAAATATGTATTTGTGCTAAATGGTTCTGCAGTAGGCTGCTTTCTTTTGTATAAGGTGTCACAAAATTTGTATATTACAATAGTCTGTAAGACAAAGAATATATGTATCTATTACAGCAAAACATGTAACAGCATGGTGTGGTCAAACTATATAAACTAGCCAATGATTAGAAGGAGGGAAAATTACTGAGCTTCATGAGCAAATCTAAAGAGACAGAGAGATGGCACAACCAGGCAGAAAAAACAAAATGTTCAAGGTGACAGAAACACAACTAAGACTGCAAATACATGTGGCAACATATATTTATAGTGCATTTGATAGGTATCAGATAAAAGAAAATAAAAAAGCAGAGAGAAGAACAGAGAGAAGTCAAGTCTACAAAGAAAGATGGAACATAAAATAGGAGGAAGAGGCAGAAGTGTTTGATAATAAGTAAGGACAAGTGGTTTAATTTACTTTCTTGGGATTTCTGTAAGCTTGTCCTTCAGTTTATCTTAAGTAATGATGCGCCTCAGATGGCCTGAACCCTGGTACTTTGTGAAACTGACCCAATAAATATGGCTTTACTTACATAGCTTTGTGTTGAAAATGTGAGTTACACTTCAGGAAAAAAATTTTAGCAAAAGCCACCAAGTTTCTCCTGGTTTGAACATCAACTGTGTTGAAGCTGTTACTATGCTAACACAATTTAGCTAAGAACTAGCTTGGACAAAAATCCATCATTATGAATTCCAGACTCTTAAGCCATAGTGGAAGAATCTTTCCAATGACCACGCAGAGATCTTAGACCAGGTTACTTTACTGAAAGAGCATTGCTTTTCTTCCCATCCAAGTATTTGTCCTTGTCAAACATTTACTAGTTACCTTTCAGAGTGTTTTAAGGGCCTCACTGCTGAACTGGTAGCTTTTGCCTTGGCTGCATCTACACAGGCACCATCCATCATTACAGCTGCCCCACAGCTGTAATGAGATTTTCTATTCTGATGAGACAGCTGTCTCATCAGAATAGAAAACATAAAAGTGACCACAGCCTCCCTATGCCAGTAATGAGCATGAATGTAGATGTTCCCGAGTGTTTGCAGACAAGACTTGAAAACATGTTGGAACACAGCTAAAAAGTGGGATTAATACAAATGCAATCAGACATGAAAACAAGCTGAATTTAGTGAAGCTGACTAAACCATGCCAGATTTCTATGTCATTGGTGTCATGTAATGAAGAGATGAATGACACTTCACAGAAACAAACACTGGTTTTTCTGTCAAGTTTCCTCTCTTTGTTATAAAATCCCTTGGGTTTACACTAGAAAATAAGGAGAGAGAGGAAATTAAATGAAGAAAAATAAACTAGCCGCTATTCCATGGATACAAATTGAGGCATTTAGCTTCTCAAAAGTTCTTCCCACTAGTCATTCTTGATTCCTTGAATTTCCAGTCAGTGAATTATCAACTAATTTATCACCTCACAGAGAGGGATTATCTCCTTATCCCTGAAAATGAATGTTGCTGAGCTAGTCTTACTAACCAAAGTCTGTTTTTCCTACTCTTACATTAGCAGATAAGCCATGACTATGAGAAGTTAAAGTTAAAAATTTAAAAGGAACCTGTGAAGACTTTTCAAAACTAGGCATTTGGAAAAAAACCAAAACCAATATCCAGCTAAAATTTCATATTTTGTAGAATTCTCCCCTTTACAACCAAAACCAGTTTTGAATGCTGGGAAGCCAATCTGATTTTGGTTATAACATTGTCTCCTCCTAAAAGTTGCATTTTCCCAGTGAATCAGCTCTGTCTTATCTGTATTGGTCCCCTTTAACTCCAACCCACTGATTATCTGTGCCAGATTTTAATACTATCAGCAATAAATTCTTCTACTCTGTTATTTTAAGAATGCAGGCCATGGGCAGGAAAGTTATTGCATGAATGGGGCCTAGAGAAGCCTGTTTTCATTGTTGTACATGGCCCAAGCAAAATCTGAAAAACCAGACTGTATTTGGTTTAAGATAATTGCCTAGCTAACTCTTCAGGCAGATAGCATGCTATATGATTAACAGAAATATGTCTATAAGCATAGAAATAAATAAAAATACCACAACTGATGAAATTCAATAAAATAGCTTTGGACTGAGATGCAATTGGAACTTAGACTAATGTTTGAGCTCATATTTGCACCTACACAGATTGATTTTTTTTTCCCCGGCTATGTGTAAAAAATATATTTAATCACACTTGTACATTATAAGTAGTTATTACATTTGTGGAATTTGATAGAGATAGGTTAATTCCAAATTCATTCCTTAATGTTTATTTTTGTAATTCATTATTCTGAAGCAATTTCTCTGATATATTCTGAGAGTATTACAAACTCACACAGTGATAGCACTTCTGTTTCATAAAGTTTGCCTTTACTTGTCTAAAAGAGATCCAAAAACTGTCCCAAAAATTAATTGTGTCCCTATGACAAAGTAGGACTGGAAGCTTTAATTACACCTAGATGTCTAGCATGACTAGGTGTTTCACCTGACTGAGGAGGAAAATATAATCCGGCAAGGTTTGTAAACTCCTAATGGACAAAGAGTTTAGTTTGATTCTGATGTGAAAGAAGTTTCAACTATCAGGAAGGAGAATAGCATGCAGTGCTGCTCAGATAAAATGCTCTGTTACAGACCCAGAGATGAAATTGTCTACTTTCACCGCTTTTAATATATTTTAATGAGGGAAAGGGTAAAGGAAGAACACCTGTAGACAGTTCATGGCATAAAAAAAATAACTATGCACAGGACAATTTTGTGATCAATAAATTTTAACATTTAACTTTTTAACATTTAGCATCTGGAATTCTTCTACCTATGTCTAGATACAGTATTAAAGAAAAAGTAAAACAACTTCCTCACTTCCAGTACATGCTACACCTGGTTTGAAAGTGAGTTGGACTGGCTACTGGGTAAACTGGGTTTAAATTCAAGCTGAGTGCCATCAAATTAGAAGCTTTCTACAAAATTAAGAAACAGTTGCACAGTATAAACATCCTGTGATTTTTTTTCAGATGCTTCCTTTGAGATCCAGGAAAAGGGCCTGTGGCATTTAAGCTATCTGATGAGAAAGACAAAACAAATTAACAATCTGTGATGTGGTGGCTGGAACCACTTTCTTTTGACACAAAGAATAAAATATACTTAAAGAAGCAAATTGACATTAATGGCCTTTTATAAATGCATTAACTTAGATTAAATCCTTCAGTGGAATTTATAGCATTCAGTGAATTATCTCTTGCTTTCTAAGGCCATCTGTGACTGGTTTGGAAGATGTGATCCAACAGAATAAGCTTCTTCTCACTTAAAGAAATGGAAGTCAGGAAGACTGGTTAAAAGAAAGAAAAAATTAATTTAAACAAAATAAAGAAGAGATATCGTACAATTCATCTTCAAGTTGTAATGTTTGTAGACGTAAAAAAATTTCTGAAGTAGGATTTGCACTTATTTTTTTAAATGATCTCTAACAAAACCTATTTTTAATCAATACTGATTTTTTCTTATCAAAGGAAATATTTTAATTTAGCTAGAGCTGGGATTTTTTTTGTATTATTGCCAGCCAAAATTAACAATTCGAGATAGATTTGCAACCTTTTGAAAATACACCCCTGCAAAAACAAAAATCTAAAAGTACCTATTGATAAATTTCAGGATTTATGCAGTCATTTCAACACTATTTCAAATGAATAATTACATTTCTATTAAATTTGATAGTGTAAATTCAAGTCTCTAAAAACAGTGAAATTATTTTTGCAGCTAGTGTTACTATTCCAGTGAATCACAAACCTATCACACGTGTACAGTACACTATGTGTCATCCAGAGAAATCAAGAACTGACCTATAATAGTGATGATAATTCTCTGATGATTTTTTTCCATGTATCTTCGGATAAAATCCAAGGACACATAAAATAATTCAGAAAATTAAAATATGATCAGCCTCTCATCGTTTCATAGTTTCTGTGAAAGCATAGATACGAATCCACCAACATTTCTAAGCTCCTCCTACCAGGGTTAGTGGCAGGCATGAGGTCTCCCACATGCATTTTTAGTAGTGGTTCAAATATGCACTGACACTCCCTTATTAGCCGGTTTTCCAGTTTTGACTTTTTTTTTTCACTTACAAAGTTGAAGTTAACATACTTCATCAAGTCATGGGTGCTTCTAATTGGAGCTCCAAGACTTGACTCTCTGCAATTGGTGAAAACCCTTGCCATTGACCAAAGTGAGAGCAAAACACAGCAAGCTCCTTTGCACTTCTTTACTTTTCAGAGATGCAAATAACTGGATCTCCAAGGCAGCACACAATAAGATTTTTCT